CAGAGAAAAAGCAACTGAAAACTGTGAGGAAGCAGGATTCTGCATCCTGACTGATAACATTCTCAAGAATCAAAGCTGCAGAGACACACGGTCAAGGCCACTGAGGCAGCTACGGAGAACCTAGGACCAGGTTGGCCAGAGGTAAGAGGCCCCTGACCCTCAGTGTCTTCAGCCCAAACCCCCACATCCTGGAAACCAAGGGATAGTGTGCCCTTCCCGTAGACAGGTAGAGACCACCGAGTTCCTGGGACTCTCTAGGTGGTTATCAAATGTAAACAGATTTTACTGTGGCCAAGACCATAGGTGAACACACAAGTCCCAGGCACAGAAGGCTGCTCGGCAATGAGGAGGTTTGCTGTGACAGACACAGCTCTGCTTTGCGCTTCTGGCCGCTTCATTCCTTGCTTTCTTGGTCTAGTCACGTATTCCTGTCACCTGATCTTTGTCTGAGAGGCTTTATCTCTCCTCTTGCTCCCCACAGAGAAAAAGTGTGAGGAGACAAGGAATCTGCGGGTCTGGGCTAGTACAGGAATAGACACCTTATCCATTCCCCACACAGGCCTGCTGTGAGGACCAAACGCTGTGAGGACCAAATCACAGTCTGTCTCTGACAAGAGTTTTATTGACAGGAAAGTGTTATTCAAATGTCAGCAGTAATAGAAAGTGTGGCTTTGTTTCCTCCAGTTGCTTTCAAAACACTTGACCTCCAAGTGGCCAATCATCCCGAACCTTCACTGAGTTGGGTCAAAGGAAGTTGTGTCTTGGGACTTGCTCCTCAGGAAGGAAAGGCGGGCTTCCGTTCCCAGCCAGTCAGAACCAGCTCCCAGCGCTTCCTCCCCGCCCTTCTCGCCAAAACGCGGGTCACAGCGCCCCCTGGTGGAACCTGAAGCCCCTGCTGGAAAGTGCCTGCAGACGTGGGGCAAAGCGAAAGGCGGGGCGCCCTTGAACCCAAGTGGTTCTGGAACCTGTGAGGCCCAGAGAGGGTAGGCCCCAGTCTTGATGGCGCACTTTTTAACAAGGAGAAACAAAGAACAACCTCATTTACTCACTTCTGAGTCTCCCACGTATAGTTGCTTGTCATACTGTTTTCATATATTAACCAGCAGAAAATAGGAGGTGACAGTAAAAATAATGTAGGAGGGAAATTAAAAAGAAAAAATTTCTTCATTAAGTTAGTTTTTTCCTACAATTTAGGAAAAAAATCAATTTCCCAAAAGCTAAATATTTACCGACCTCCAGAATACCAAAGTCCACAAGGGTGTATTTGAATTTTTTAGGAGAGATCCATACCCCTAAAGCCACTTGCAAAGCCTGCATAATTAGAGTCTTCCTGCTGGTCACCTCACCTTCTATTATTTCCTATTCTTTCTTTTTTTTTTTTTTTTTTTTTTTAAATATTAAATTTTATTTTTATATTCCCCCATACAATTGCAAACGCCCCATTCTGACCCCAATCCTTCCCCTCCCGCCCCCCACCCCCCCAAAAAGTGTCTCTGGTTCATAGTTTTTTGTTGATTTTGATTTTCACTTTCTTATATTGATTTTCCTGGTCCCTTATTTAAGTTTTCTAGATTCCTGCTATGAGTGAGACCATCCGGTATTTTTCTTTTTCTTTTTGGCTTATTTCGCTGAGCATGATCCCTTCCAGTGCCATCCATGTTGCTGCAAATTGCATGTGTTTATCTTTTTTGAATGCTGAGTAATATTCCATGGTATATATGTACCACATCTTCTTGATCCAGTCATCTATTTTTGGGCATTTGGGCTGTTTCCAAAGCTTAGCTATTGTAAACAGTGCTGCTATAAACATAGGAGTGCAGGTGCTCTTTGGAATTGATGTTTCTGTGTCCTTTGGGTAAATACCTAGGAGTGGAATTGCTGGATCATATGGAAGCTCTATGTTTAGTAGGTCCAGAAATCTCCACACAGCTCTCCATAGTGGTTGGACCAGTTTGCACTCCCACCAACAGTGCACAAGAGTTCCTTTTTCTCCACATCCTCGCCAACATTTGTTGTTGCTAGTTTTTTTAATATGTGCCATTCTCACTGGTGTGAGATGGTATCTCATGGTAGTTCCTATTCTTTCTTGATCAACTTTTTTTTTCCCCAAGAACATTTCAGGCCTTTTCAGAAAATCTGTCTATGAGTTGTTCCTTCTCTCTTTTCCATTTTTAAAATCTCCTATGCATCCTTCAAAACCCAGTTTGCATCTTCTCTTCCCCCACCTTTTAGGCATAGTAAGCTGCCAATCCCAACTCGTGTTTCCAAAGTTCTAAGCCCCTCTCTCTAGTGTGGTAATGGCATTGTTTATGCTATAAGTATTTGCTTATACATCTACTGACATCAGGAATCTACTTCGAGGTGTATTATGTCTCCGATAGACCAGAATGTTTAGAAATGCCTCGTGGATTGGGATACTGGTAAGGAGGTTTGCTCTCTGTTTTGCTCAACCAGAGCCCGTTACCCCACCCCTAGGCTTTTCGGAGGTCGGATCATTTGAAAATATATCTAAAATAATTGCACTTTTGAATTTTCTGAATAAGGAATCATTTTCATGATTCCAAATGGAAAAGGTATAAATGTACCTATATGTGAAAAGTTAGTATCCCTTCTCATGTTTCCAGCCAAGCAGTTTTTTCTTCCTATCAGTAAATGTTACTTATTTATTGTTTGCTGGGGTGAAGTCCACATTTCTTTACACAGTGTAATTATTTCTACTATCTGGGCCTGCTTATCTTCCCAGCCCACTCCTGTATCCAGCCTTTGCCCTCCACTTTCCAGCCCATCCTGAGTTTAGCTCCTCAAAATGCTGTGCTCTCAATCACCCTCTCCCCCCACCCTTTTTCTTGTAGTAATGTGTTTCTCATCAGTCTGGCTTTAACTCCTCTGTCTGCTGTGGAGGTGGCCTGAGGTCCCCAGGAGTTCCCTCCCCCACCCCAGCTCTTCTCATCTTGCAATGGCTACTGTCTTGTATCCTTAGCAAGTCACTGACTCCTGGACATCAGAGACTCTTGAGTTATTACTGAACACTAAGTGAATGAATCCTGGCTAGAATCATGAATGAATCCTGGCTAGAATCAATCTTCCCCCATATTTATTGTTATCTCCTGGGCTCAGTGTCCAGAAGCCTGTAACTTGCATTTGACAGCCAGGCCTCACCTCCCTGATGGCCACAAAGCTCCAACTTAACAAAGTCTGTAAGTGCTACCCTTGCAGCCTGAGGGAGGCACCTGGCTAACACTCAAGTTCACCCCTGGTTTTGTTTTTTTCTCCCTGTTCCCTCTTGACTAGGAGGAAGAAATCATGGCCACATTGAGGCACAAACTTGTGAGCACACAGAGGTATTTCTTATTACAGATAACTGAAATGGGCTGTATGTTTTAATTATCTATCCACCTTTTGTGAACCTTATTAGCAAAGGTGGGTGATCTTGAGCTGAGTCAACTCATGGACATTGAAAAGTTAGACTTTTTTTTTAAGGATTTCTTTCTTTATGCATACAAAAACTGGGGTATAGGCTAGAGTGTGGGGGGTTTGCGGATACACCAGAGACAGAGTGGGGAGCAGAACAGGCAGATTGAGTGAAATGCACTGCTGAAGGGAGCAGCAGGCGAGACAGGAGAGGTCTGCTGTGCCATGTGGGTCATCTCCTTGGCTGGGGATCGAACTCGTGCTGCCAATACCTTCATAGTGTTGATGCTTAACCCCTTGTGCCACCAGGGAGCCCCTAGACATTCTTAAAAGGGGAGTCATGTTTATGTGGGGAGGAGGGAAAATTTTCCCTAGCCCTCTGGGTTGTTCTTGGGCTGGTCAAGCAACCAAATTAACATCAGACAGATTAGTAGCTAAAATCCAATTTTAATTACATATCTACAGAGAATCCACAAAGTCAATGAAGAAAACTGGTGTAGGTGACCCACATGGTGTAGCCGACCTCTCCTGTCTTGCCTGCTGCTCCCTTTAGCAGTGTATTTCAGTTAATCCAATTGTTCTGTTCCCACTCTGTCTGTGGTAAGTCCTCTCAACCCCGGTACCTCTGGCCTGTACCCCAGTTCTTGTATGCAAAAATAAATAAATCTTTAAAAAAAAAAGAGAGAGAGAGCTGAGATTTAAAAAAAATTAGTGAAATCAGATCTTATCCAATAACTGAGAAAGGAAACCACTGAGCTCTGTTCAGAATGGCGTGAAAGGAAACACAAGGGAGATGATAGAGCAAGAAAGAAGCCTGGAGGGAAAATGACAAAGGTAGGGTGGTGCAAATGCGATGGGACCAATAGGGTCTACCGGCCCAGCAGCTGGAGAGAGGGTGGGTCCTCACAGTCCCACCCACCTCATCCCAACCCCTCCTCCCCCTCCCAACTCCCCCCACCCCACCAATCTGGGCTAGGGCCCTGCCCTTCCTTATTTTTTCATTTCAAAGTCATGGCTCGCTGGTCCTTGAGAAGACCCGCCACAGGACAAAGGAAGGATGGACACTCGTATTCCTCGGACACTGATGTTGGAAGGGCAGGTAGCCAGGGGCCCATTCTCAGATGTTACCCACAACAAACAGTGGAATCTGGCAGCTGTGTGGTTCTTCCCGGCATTTTAATGGAGGGGTTTGTGCCCAGGCTCTGCTAGAAGCCACACTAGGCTTTCAGCCTCAGCTCAGAGATGGCCTCGGAGACTCCTGCGGAGTCAGAGCAGTGATCCGCCAGGGAAAGCGCTCGCTGCAAGTTTTCATCTTCCGTTTTGCCGCCCACAATCACTTCCACGTTGCTCCAACTACCGCGGGCAGTGAGAAGCCTGGTGGTGTGCGCCCGCGGAGTTAGTTGTGTGGGCGACGTTGGCAGCGGCTGCAGGGGACCGGGAAGAGGGAGAAGTAAAGCAAAGGGGCCTTCCCGGAGGAAGTGGCGGCGAGCCCGGCCTCCCAGGGCGCCGGGCCAGCGCTGGCTCCTCCCGCCGCCGGGCCTGTAGGCCGAGCGCCCCGGCGGCCCAGTTGGTTCGCGTCTGCGCTCGGCATGGGCGCCGCGGGCTCCTCCGCTCTGGCCCGCCTGGGCCTCCCGGCGCCGCGGCTCCCCGCGCAGCCCCGGCCGGCTTGGCTGGGGGTGGCCGCGCTGGGCCTGGCGGCCGTGGCGCTGGGGACGGTCGCCTGGCGCCGCGTTGGGCCGGGCCGGCGCCGGCGGCGGCAGCAGGTGGGGACCGTGGCGCAGCTCTGCATCTACCCGGTCAAGTCCTGCAAAGGGGTGCCGGTGAGCGAGGCCGAGTGCACCCCCATGGGGCTGCGCAGCGGCCACCTGCGCGACAGGTAGGACACAAGCCGGCGGGGCGGGCCCCAGGGACTGCCCGGGAGAGGGTGGGGAGCCGGGGAGAGGAGTGAGGCCTGAACGGGGGAAGGAGAGTGGAGGTGGACCGTCTGGTTTCCCGGGGCTGCTGGTTGTTCTCTCTGCCTTTGACCCTTCACAGGGAAGGTGAAGTTCATGTCAGGTTCAGAGTTGGAAAGGTAGGTAGGGCAAGTCCCTGTCCCTCTCTGGATGGCAAATTCACCTTCTGTAATCTCCAAGGCGCCTGCTGACACATTTCTGATCCTTTCTTTCTTTCTTTCTTCCTTGTTTTTTAATGTTTGCCTTTTTTTAAAAAAAAAAAGAGATTTATTTATGCATACAAGAGCTGGGGTACAGGCCAGAGGTGTGGGGGGAACAGTGAGAGGATTCACCAAAGACAGAGTGGGCAGCAGAACAGGCAGATTGACCAAAGTACACTGCTGAGGGGAGCAGCGGGCCAGTCAGGAGAGTTTTGTGCCATGTGGGTAGTTCCCTGGCTGCTGGGGGATTGAATTCCTGCGGCAGAGGTTGCAGATTGCTTCATAGTGTGGTGCTTGCGCCACCAAGGAGGCCCTTTTTGATCCTTTCTTGATAAAAGCGTAAGAAAAGAAATCTAAAGTACAGCTGCTACTAGTGGGGAGACAGAGGAGCTGGAAACCAAGTCTTGTTCAAGGACACTGGCTTGGGCTTTGCTGAGGTTAGTTCCCCCATGTCTGTAGTCCTGGAGAAAGTAGCTGGGAGACCCAGGAGGTGGACACATCTGACCCACTTTGAAGATGTGAGCAGAGTGAAGGGTTCTGTTGAGGAGGGGGAGGGCAGCACTGGGGAAGCCAGTGTGATGGTGGACATGAAGGGGCTAGTGTGTCCCTCCTTCAGATGCAGAGAACTCACAATGTCCCATGCAGGGCCAGGTATATAGAATTTATTTATTTATTTATTTATTTATTTATTTATTTATTTATTTATTTATTTATTTATTGTGGGACCCTCACTGGCAGCTGGGGAACGAACCGGCACTGCAGAGGCTGCGGGCAGCCTCGCAGCCCAGCGCTTAACCGCTGCGCCACCAGGGGAGGCCCGGTACATAGATATTTTATTCTCCTCCTTCAGGTAGGAAAAAGAATTCAATGCCCTGCCATTGAACTCACCCCAGACGTGGGTGACAGACAACACTCACTGCCCCCTGAACTGGCTATGAGGAAGGCTCATCTGAAGCAGAGGATGTTAAACCCTAGAAAGAGGTGCCAGCTGCCTTGCTATCTGGCTGGGATGGTTTGGCTGTGGTCCTGTGTCCAGCGGGTGGAGGTCATTCATGAAACTTTCTAGCAGAGGCCGTCTGCTGCCCCAAGTCCACTCCAGGACTCAAGTAATCTCTCTTCTCTTAAAGATCTGGGTTCCCCACAAGAGAAAACTCCAGCTTATTTTAGAGAGGTGTTCTGTATGCAGACCGTGTCACTCACTGGGAATTTTCCACCCCAGATTTTTAATCCTTGAGAGTTATTTTAACCTATAACTTCTGGAGAGTCCCATCCCAGCCCTATGGAATCAGAATCACCCAGAGTGAAGCCAGCTCACACAGGGTGTTGAAATCACCCCAGGTGATTCTCCTGCTTCAATTAAAGGATTTTATTTGGAATCATTCAGAAGAAGGAGAGATTGGATAGAGTGCATTCAAGTGTGAAGGATTACAGAAGTTCTCATTTTGTGGGAAGGCTTTAGGCACTGGACACCGTCCCCAAGCAGGGAGAGGCGGACTCTTGGGATGCCTTGTGTGCTGCCTCTTTCCTCATAGAAGGGCTGACGTATTTGTCATATTTGTACCAGGAGTTTCCAGTTCTGTTTTTTCTGATCACCTGAATTCCCATTGTTTTCCCACTTGTCATTGTCACTACTTTGCTATGACTGTTGCTTCTGGGCAAGGAAAACATTTGTCCTTTGCTTTTTGGCACCTGTGGGCATCCTCAGATTAATGGAACAGTGTCAGCTTCCTTGATTAGAACAATAAATACTTGGATTGAGGTGGGGCTGGGTAGAGAGGGGTATGGAAGGAAAGCATTTATTCAGGAAACAAGCGTTTATTCAGTGATTTAATAGGCAGTAAACACTGAGCTAAATCCTTGTGGAGATGATTTTACGTAAGCCTCTTAACAGTCTTGGGGGCCAAGTGGTATGGCCACTTTGCAAATAAGGAAACAGTATTAGGATGGATGAGGTCATCCAGGTCACAAAATTAGTATGTGCTGAAGGGATTTGAACTCAGATTTCTATGAGGGCATGCACACCTTGTCACGCACGCTGGTGTGTGGTGTGAAAATGCAGATTGCTTTGAGGATCAAGGATGGATTGGGGGAGACCTTTAACCTCTCACCTCTTTGGAGCCTCGTTTTTTTTTTATCATTGCAAAAGAACTTAATGTTCTCTAAGACCTTGTCTGATCTGGATTATTAAAAGATGATTGAAACTCAAAAACAAGCAGGAAAAATCTCTGCTAAATGACTGCTATTGTTATCTCAACCAATCTGAGACTACAAATAGTGGAGAAAGCAGGGAAAGGCCTACTTTATATAGCTCCATTTGGGACAGTTCTTAGGAACTGTTCTAAGAGGCTGGGGTCTTTCTCTGTAAGTGCTCTGCGCTTCACATTTCCAGAGATGTTTTGTTCCAAGCTCTAATGTGTTTCTGACTGCTTGACTTGAGCACCCAGAACTTCAGGTGCATCTGAAGCATCCCCAGCAGAATGCTGAGCCACCATCCCGCAAGCCGCTGGGAGGGCACGGCTGCTCTCCTCGACCTTGTAAATCCCTGTTCTGCTTCACAGTCATATTTGACCAGGTCATTTAAAATCTGTCCAAACCCTCTCTGATGTCAGTCTTTTATTTCTTCTGCACAGTTATCCCTTGGAGAAATGAGTTCCCAAATGGATTTTCCCAAGTGTCATGAGCCCTCCTGGATTCCGCTTCCTCCTGCCGTCTGTTCTCTATGGGGGTCTTACTTTCCCCTTCTCAGCCTCACTCCTTCTGCTTCCCAGGCCAATCTGTAAGTTTAGAAGTGACGACGGATGTGCCAGTTGTCCGGGCTCTGCTTCTCCTCCCTCTGTTGTTCTTTTGGGGAATCTGAGGCGCTGGCTCCTGCACAGATCCCTCCACCACGGACTCCAGCTTTATGTGTAAAATCAGTGTCTTTAAGTCCAGTATATTAGGTTGGGACATTAGGTTGAGATGCTTGGTTATGGAACACTTCACACTGTGAACTTAGCTTTTCTTTGGAATCTGGCAAACATTGCCAATTATTTACCCGTTTGGCAACATCTGTGTGGCAGTGGTGAAAAAATATCCTTTCTCAGGATGACAGCATAGTGAGGGTGGTTGGGTCTGGTACAGGTAGCAACCTTTGGTCTGTGGGTGTCTCTGCCCCATCCCATGTCGGGCTGCTTTCAAGTTGTCACTTGCCTTTGCCATTGTCGTGGTGAGCACCAAACTCCAGCACCACTTCTCACTGTTAATTCCCAATTGATTATAAAAAAAAGCCTGCAGCAAAGGGCAGGGTTGTGAGCCCAGGAAAGGGCTAATGTTGGGAGTTGAGCATGAGATGAGAAGGCTCAGCCCAGGGAGGGGCTGTCAGAAATAATGTGCAAGTGGTTGTGACTCCATGTGGATGTGTGACCTGTCATGTGCTGATCTCCAAGGGAGTCCTTTGGGGGACAAGGCTCAGTGGGGTTCATTGGAGCAGGGTCATGCAGAACTCCACACTTAAGCATGAGGCTGGAAATTGGGATAGGACCCTGCCCCAAGGGAAGAGAGATGTCAGAAAGTAGGCAGGTGTTCCTTGGGCTACAGATCCATCCTCGCCCCACAGGTGAGTGGGTCAGAGAATGCTGGGAACTGCAGACACCTTGAAAGGTACCCTAGAGAGGTGGGCATGAGCCTTTGCCCTGCATTGCTCAGGAAACAGGACAAGTCTAGACAGTTCCAAAAATGCCTCTGTCCTGTCACCATTGCCACGCCAGGACTCACTCCAACACTCAGCAGGACGCAGGTGCCAGCTGGGGTCTGCTGGTGGTGCAGGGAAGGGGCAGTTCTGTCAGCACCTGGCCAGGGCTCTGCTTGATGGGGGAGGTGGGTGTTCCAGAGATGAGGTGGGAAGGAGGGATTAGCTCATGGTGACCTCCCCTCAGCTGGCCTCATCACATTATCTCAGACCTTCCATTGGGCTCCAGTCACAAGTTGAGGTGTGTTCCTTGGGGAAGCTGCCCTCATTCCAGAAGGGGTGTCCTTTCATCCTGCTCACTGCTGGGAAGCCTCTAAATTTCCATTGCTACTCACTCATCAGTACCCAAGGACTCATGGCCCACGGTCCTTGTCTGCCAACTTCACATTGCATCCAAAAGAGTGATGTCGAAATTTATTTTCCTTAAGGTCATTATACTTTCATTAAGAATTTAGTAATCAAATCCTTTGTGTCTCCTAATAAAGCAATATTCTGCCTTACCCACTCACCTGTGCCCTGCTCCAGGCAAAAGTGTAAATGAGCTAACCAGGAAGCTCCCTTCCCACTCTTCAGCTCACCCTACCCTCACCATGGGTAACCGATCTGTCCTTGAATAAACCTTGTTTCATTATAATGTTGATGAGATAAGAAAAAGCAAAGCCCCGGTGCCCACTGGGGACTGCTGGTGGTTGCAAGCAGATGTTGAACATCTTTATAGGAGGACTTGCTTATAGTCATTATAGTCATTTCTTATAGTCATTTCTCTTAAAGTCAAAATTTCCAGGAACCTATCAAACTCAGAATCTAGATCTGGGAGAGGCCTCCAGATTTCTCTGGGTGCTGGTCTCGCCCTTCAGAGGTTTGGCTTCAATTTACATACCTTTGTGCTTGTGTAAGAGTGTGTGTTAGTCATTCTACAATGTGGGGATCTGTTTTTTTTTTTTGTTTTTTTTTTTTGCATTCAAGATAAGGGGTGTGATGGTGGAGGAGGATGGGTGTTTTGGTGGTGTCCATGGTGTGGCATTTGAAGAAGGGTGACCCTAATCTCCTAATTCATACATAGTGTCACCCACCAACACTACTACACCAAAATAAGTAATAAATATTTTTTAAAAGGTGAGGGTGCGAGAGCCCGTCGTATACCTTAGACATTCATTCACTTTGTGCCCAGATCTAATTTATGTGTGAGAAGAGGTGAGAAGCCAGACTTCTAGCTCTTTTTCTCCTGGAAACTATTTCAACAGACTTGCTGGGTCGAGCTGTGCCTGGTCACACAGGGAACTTCCCGTTCACACTGGGTTCCGCTCAGTGGTCATAGCATAATCCGAGGGGGGTGTGGGTTCTGCTGGGTCTTGCAAGCCACCGGGCATCTTGACAGCTAAGGGCTTTGTTTAGCTGACTTCTGGCCTCTGCAACATTTTAAATGCCCAGAGCTGTTTGATTTTCTGCCCATTTCTATTGTTACCGTACAGAGTTGGAAAACTGAGCCCAGAGCAGCAGGCTCCCTCAGAGGTAAGTGGAGTTCTGTGAAGCATGTGTTTTGCAGGGGTTTTTATTCTTGGGGTCAGTGTGTGCATGAAGAAGAAAGGCTGTTTAGGGGGTTTCCTGGTGGAGGATGTGCATGTTGCAGCAACTTAGACAGAACAGGCTGGGCGGACTCTCTGGGAGTCCCAAAGGTGACCAGACCCCCTTCTAGGACTTCGGGTACTTGGGCCTGCTGTCCCCGCCAACCCGTTTTGTTCCACAACAAAAAGGCTTTATAAACTTTTGCCTCCACAGAGAAGCTTCCAACAGGTCTAGGGGACGTTTCTGACCAAAAGGAGGTTCAAAATGAGGGACAGTGTTGCCTAAGCAGAGAGGGAAGGTCCCTAAGTCAGCCTTATGCCAGCCTTATTTTCTGAACTGGGGATTTTCCTATGTTGACCCATTGTTCTCTCCCAGGGCTATTTTTGCCAAACAGCCTCCTTTTGGGGGCTTTCACTTTTGAACCCAAAGAGTTTTACCAGATCTGGATAATTGTCTACAAAAAAATTGCTGGTCCTGAGTTCAGGGCTATGGGTGGGAGGTACTTCATGAAACAGAAATCCAGAGAAAGACTCTTGGGAGGATGGGGAGAATTTTCTGAGCATGTTCCTATTTGTTTCTGGGTAGGTTTTGGCTGGTGATTAAGGAAGATGGACACATGGTCACTGCCCGACAGGAGCCTCGCCTGGTGCTGGTCTCCATCACCGCCAAGGATGACCACCTGATCCTCAGTGCACCAGGCGTGGATGAGCTGGTCCTCCCCAGCAAGATGCCTCCCTCCAATATGCTTCACGACTGCAGGTGCTCTGCTGGGGGAACCCGGGGACCTGGGACATACCTGTTTTCCTTTCAGCCACTCCCTGCTGTCTGTTGCTATAGCTGGTGTGGTGGGTGATGAACTTGGTGCAGGAAATCTTAAAGAGAAGTCTAGAGTGGGTTAGATGGAGCCACTGGCCAGGTGTGAGTGGGTGAGGCAGAATATTGCTCTATTAGGATGTTTGAACCCACTATGGTGAGACAGGACACTGGGAAGCAGGAAGCAGGGCCTACGTGCAGGGCCACATGGTAAGCACCAGGGTCGGTCAGGAGGCAGAGCAGGGAGGCAGGGCAAAGTGAGCAAGAAGAGCCTTCACTGCGGTTTCTGCAAGAAAGACTGAGTGTGAGGCAGGATGGGTAGGCTTAGAATGGCTCATTTGAGTAATTTCAGTGGGGTCTGGGGTCCAGGGGTGTCAGAGGAGGTCGTTGGGTGAGGGGTCTGGGCTGGGTGGCCTGTGTACGGAAGGCCCCTCAGGCTAGTGGTTTACTCTCTAGGAATTGGCCAGCCCTGGGAGGGGTGGTTCCTTCAGCATCATCAGCAAGATCTTAAGGTGTCAAACCATCAAAAAATACAGAAAATAATAAAACATTATTAATACAAGTAGAAGGGGCTGCAAAGGGCCTGTCTTTAGAGTCTACTTCCTTTTATTCAAGTTAGGTAGACTTCTATTCAGAATTGCCAGCCCTCCTGCCAGGCGGCCAGCAAATGAGTAGAGATTTCACTAGCTGTGTCTCAGGGTTGGCTGATAAGGATGTTGGAGCTATTCCAGGTGACCCTGTAGCTTTGAGGTCTGGGACTGAAATGAAGACATCCCAAGCAGAGTCAGATGTAAGAGATTCCCACATCTGGGCCTCCCCTGGTGGTGCAGCAGTTGAGCGCTGTGCTGCGAGGCTGCCCGCAGCCTCTGCAGCACCTGTTCATTCCCTGGCTGCTGGCGAGGGTCCCACAAAAAAAAAAAAAAAAAAAGGAAAAAGAGGGCCTCCCCGGTGGCGCAGCGGTTGAGCGTTGGGTTGCGAGGCTGCCCGCGGCCTCTGCGGTGCCGGTTCGATCCCCGGCTGCTCCCCGGCCACAGGAGGAGGGTCCCACATGGCGCGCAGACCTCTCCTGCCGCCCGCTGCTCCCCTCAGCAGTGTACTTCGGTCCTTCTGCCTGCTCTGCTCCCCGCTCTGCCTCTGGTGAATTCTCTCGCCCTCCCGCACTTCTGACTGCACCCAGTGCATGTATAAACAAAAAAAACAAACAAACGAACAAAACAAAATAAATAAAACATGCCTCTATAAAAAAAAAAAAAAAAAAAAAAAAAAGGAAAAAGAGAAAAAAAAAAGAGATTCCCACATCTGCCCAGAGATTACCCTAAGGCCTGAGCTTCCTCTCTGTCTAGGGGAACCCTGCATAACTGTCCAGTTCAAAGCTTCCTAGTGGTTTTTCCTGGACTCTCAGGAAATATCAGAAGCTTAGAACCTTGTCATGGGATGTGCTGACCCCTTTATAGGCAGCTGAACATTTTCAGCCCCTGGAGTTGGTGTTATCCAAATGTTCCAAGGCTCAGTGAGTGTCCCAGATTGCTTCCTGTACTCTGTCTGCTTTTACAAGTGAAGTGTCTAAGCTAAAACCCATTACTCAAGATTCTCAGATTTCAAACACCTGCAGAAACAATAACTCAACGAATATAATCTCTTGGTTAATGATCTTAGCAAGCTTATGAAACCCATGCCATTAAATCTGCATCACAAAGGAGGAAACTAAGATGTAAATCACAGGCAGAGCTGGGATTTGAACCCACCTCCCACCAAGGTGTGTGTTTGTAATTCCTGTGCACTGGGAGGGGAGAAGCCTTCCCACTAATTGCAGGTTTTGAGCAAATAAACCCATCAAAGGGAACTGTAGCTTTCTAACTAGATTGAGGGATGTCCAAGGTTCATGGATAAATGCTTAGTTGACATCAGTTCAGTGACAGATATAAATGTTGCCTGGCAGACTTCCCTTTCTCATCAGCAATTTTTTCCCTCTAGGCTCTCTGACCTGTGAAACAGGCAGAACACCCTGTGTGGCATAAAGCTTGGAGAACAATTATAGACTAATAGGTCTTCTTAATCATCACAAAGATTTATGAGTGATTATTGTCTAAAAAGGCTGAGCTTATGTTTTAAAGCGAAAGGAAGGAAGAAATTACTTCAAACATGGACAGTCCAACGGAAGTTTAATTTCTTTATAACTGAAATAATATTTCCTTTTGAAAAGAAGTCTCTCCAGCTAAGTTTTATTCAGGAATAGGACATATTGACAATTGACAACATTAGTAAATATTTGAACCAAAGGATGTATAATGTATATGTAAATTATAAAACATAATAATGAAACAAACATGTAGCAAAGTACCTAATGTAAGAAATACAATGAACAGAAATATTTCAGGTACTTTCCTGGTAACTGGCCCCTTGGAGGTAACCAGCAAAGGACAGACCTCCCCAAGATGTCCAGAACATGTCAGTTTGGCATGTGGATTATTTGGGGCTGATGTGAGTTGAGGCCCTGCAGATTCATGAGAAACCTTTGCCACTCCCTTAACTACCTAGGAGAATGAAAATTAATGGTATTACTCAGAATTAGGATTTTTACAAGAAATAGCCTTTCTGTCCAAAAGAAGCCTAATCTGGGCCTCCCCAGTGGCCCAGATTGCGAAGCTGCCCGTGGCCTCTGCGGTGCTGGTTCGATCCCCGGCTGCTCCCCGGCCACCGAATGAGGGTCCCACATGGCGCACAGACCCCTCCTGCCACCCGCTGCTCCCCTCAGCAGTGTACTTCGGTCCTTCTGCCTGCTCTGCTCCCCGCTCTGGCTCTAGTGAATTCTCTCATCCTCCCGCGCTTCTGACTGTACCAAGTGCATGTATAAACAAACAAACAAACAAACAAATAAATAAATAAAAACATGCCTCTATAAAATTAAAAAAAAAAAAGCCTAATCTATAAGGCAGGAGAGCATCTAATTACAGAGCATCTGGTCGTTGTCACATGATTCACCCTCTCTCTCCTCAGCATGCGAGTTCCCCTCCTTTCTCCTGAAAACCCCAGCCCTTGCCCCATTCCTTAGCTCAGGATATATGCCCCCTTTGGCTCCATTGGCTTCAGAATCTACAGCCAAGTAGATTCTCCATACATGTGTAATTAAATGAATTATTTTCTCCTACTAATCTGTGATACTAATTTGATGGCTCAGTGAGCCTGAGAAGAGCCAGAGCGGTAGGGGAAATTTATTTCCCCCTCCTCCCTCAATATCTTGGATTTCTTTGGTTCCTCATTCTTTGCTGCCCCCCATTGTCTTTTTACCTGTGTATGTGCTCCTAAATAAGATATGATTAAATTTTGCTTAATTTCAAAGTTTATCAAAATATTATGCTGCATGTTTTCATCTGCAATTTCCTATTTTTCTCAATGTTATGTTTCTAAGATTGATCCATTTGTTGCTTCTAACTGATAGTTCTAGTTCATATTTCCCTGTGACGTAGTTTCTATTGTGTGAATCTGCTGCAGTGTGCTGATTCATTCTCCTGCCCCTGCTCATATAAATTGTTTTTAGCTTCTCCCCTAATACAATATTCTCTGGATTTTTAAAATTTTTTAGGCATGTATTTAGGAATAGAATTACTGACTCATAGGTAGGTGCATATTAAGTTTCATAAGAAAATGCCAGGTTGTTTTCCCAGGTCATACCATTTTATACCTCATCGGAGTTAGGGTCCATCGTCTTGTGTCCTCATCATCTAAGTTTCCTTACACTTTAAGTTCTGTAAATATCTTTTTTTTTTAAGATTTATTTTTATTTATTTATGCATATAAGAGCTTGGGTGTAGGCCAGAGGTGCAGCGGTGGGGGCGCTGTGAGAGGATTCACCAGAGACAGAGTGGGGAATAGAACAGGTGGATTGACTGAAATACACTGCTGAGGGGAGCAGCAGGTGAGGATGGAGAGGTCTGCTGCACCATGTGGGTAGCTCCCTGGCCAGGGATTGAACTCCACTGCAGTGGCTGCTGATAGCTTCCTGGTGCTGCGACTTAACCCCTTGCGCCACCAGGGAGGCCCAAATTCTATAAATATCTTGATGGTGGCATCTCTTTGTGGTTTCAATTTGCATTTCTCAGATTTCTGATGTGGCTGAATATTTTTTTCTTGGTAATTATGGATTCTTTATGATTCATTATTGTTCATATTTTTATGCCTAAGTTTTCCCTTACTTGGCATTTGCTGTATATAAACCTTTGGCCAATTATATGAAGTGCAAACATCCCACTTTGTGACTTTTTTTTTTTTTTTGATGGTATCTTCTGATAAACAGACATTCCCAATTTTATTTTTCTTAAATGAATTAGTCTTTCTCTTTTGGGATTAGCATTTTATTTGTGTCTTAAGAAATTTGATCTCCTCCAAAGTTATAAAGAAATTCCTCTACTATCCTTTCCCTAAAACTATTGAAGTTTTGCTTTTTTCATTTATGGCTCTAGTATATCTAATTTATTTTTGTGTACGGTTTGAGGCAGACATCCTATATAATCCTTATACTAATCATCAACTCCAGTACTTTATTGAATAATGCACATATATATGCATAGACATGTATGCATGTATATGTGTATATGTTACATGGATATAGATGCACAACAGGGTATTATTCATCCCTTAAAGGGAAGGAAACCCTGCTATTTGCAACAATATGGATGACCTTCAGGCATTATGCTAAGTGAGATAAATCAGGCAGAGAAAGACAAGTACTATAAGATTTCACTTATATGTGAAATCTACAAGTAATCCCTCCAATGGAAAAAAACCCCACAAACTAAAATAAGAAGAGAGCAGAGTAGTGGTTTCAGAGGTGGGGGGGAAGGACATATGATCTATAAGAAGACATATAATACATATATAAAAGTACAGCTTACTGGTTCTCATCACAAGGAAAATCCCTTTTTTGGTATCTGTATGAGATAATGGATATTAACTAAATTTACTGTGTTGTGATCATTACGTAATATATATAAGTCAAGTCATGATCCTCTGCACCTTCAAATTATACAGTGCTGCATATCTACTGGACCATAATATACATGATATACATAATAATGTATATTTTAAATGGATTGGAGTGGATATCACACTATTGTGGAATTTGGATTCCACTGCATAATTTTATTTTGATATAATTTATATATCTATAATAATAATTATAAAATTGACTATACTTTATAATATTTTATTTTCAATTTCTATATTTACATTATATTTACTATCTAAATATTTACTATCCAATGGGAATGACAGCTCTCACAACCAATTAGACCTATGGTACAAGTGTTTACAATTCTGTAAGGGGTACATAGCTTTTTGAAAGTCTTTTATGGGTGTTCAAGCAAAAGCCCCATGAAGGTCACTGTGTTATCTAATGGTACCTCCCTCCACCAAGAAGGGTTGGGACTATATTATTAGCTCCAATATACAGCTACAGACAGAAGGTCAGAGCAGTTAAATGTTACAGGCAGGGACTAGAGAATGGCTGACCTCCCAGCTGAACCAGGTCTGCTGGACTCCAAGTTCAGGTGCATCTGAACTGCAGGCACAGTAAGGGTCTGCATTCTGGGACTGCATTCTGCCTCCATTTCCCACAGTCCCACCCAGTTGTGGCTCAAGGACCACCCACTGCCCCTTCTGGGACTCTCAGTTCCCAAGAGTTGCCTCTTCCATCTTTGCCGCCATTGTCCCCATGTTGATGCAAGAAAGTGACCCCAATGTTTTCCTGTGATCTTCCAGGCTATTTGGTCTTGACATTCAGGGCAGGGACTGTGGAGACAAAGCGGCTCAGTGGTTCACCAACTTCTTGAAAACAGAAGCATTCAGGCTGGTTCAGTTTGAAAAAAACATGAAGGGAAGATCATCAAGGAAAATTTTCCCTGAATTTGTGCAGGATTACCAGGTGAGCTGACAGGAGCTGCCCTTCCCTTCTCCTGGTACCTCCTCTCTTCCTGCTTTCCTTCTTGGCTCACAAGGGCCTCGCTGGGGGTGCCAGGTAGGAAGGTATAGGGTAACCCAGGGGCTGGGGTGCACCTGGGGCAGGGATTCGGGGTGGAAAGTGGATCGACAGCCTGGGCCCCCAGGAGGCAGGGAGGATAGACTGTGACACTGCAGAGGGTGAACGCTGTCCCTCCTGGGAGGTGACCCCCATGGAGATGGGCAGCCAGGAGAAAACTCAGGGTGAAAGTGAGAGGTTTGTTTGGGCTAAATCCAGCCTTCCTAAAATTACAAAACTGGATTTCTTTTTTTTTTTTTTAAGATTTATTTATTTATGCATACAAGAGCTGGGTTACAGGCCAGAGATGCAGGGGGTGAGAGGATTCACCAGAGACAGAATGGGGAACAGAACAGGCAGACTGACTGAAATACACTGCTGAGGGGAGCACTGGGAGATTCAGGAGAGGTCTGCTGTGCCATATGGGTTTCTTCTTGGCCAGCCGGGGATCGAACTCATGCTGCAGAGGTTGTGGATTGCTTCACAATGCGGTGCTTAACCCCTTGCACCACCAGGGAGGCCTAAAACTGGATTTCTCCAGGCCTGCCCTTCCAGTGTGCTAATGTCAGGCACTGAGAAGGTTCTGTCTAAAGAAACGGCCCTGCTGTCAGCTATGATTCAGGACCAATGCCTTTGATTCTTCAGGGAGGCAAGTTTAAAACGCAAGCACCCTCAGGGATGTCGACCACACCCCCTGAACTATAGATTCCTTGAATGAAGGGGTATTATCTGCTTTTGTTCACTGCCGTTTACCCATCTAGAACTGACACAGTAGATGCTCAATTAATGCACATTGCGGGGCCTCCTCGGTGGTGCAGTGGGCTGAGCACAGTTGTCCACAGTCTCTGCAGCATGGGTTCGATTCCTGGCCAGCCAGGGAGATTCCCACATGGTGTAGCAGACCTCTCTTGTCTCACCCACTGCTCCCCTCAGCAGTGCCTTTGGTTTGTCTGCCTGTTCTGCTCCCCTCTCTCTCTCTGGTGAATTCTCTCACCCTCCTGCGCCTCTGGCCTATACCCTAGTTCTTGTATAAATAAATAAATCTTTTTAAAAAAAATGCACATTGCCTGACAGCATGGTAGTGAAGGAAGTGATTCCTAGAGCTAGCCTGACTGCCACCTCCTGTCGCCTGTGTGAGGAGGATGTGGGATAACCAAGGAAGGTGAGGCCTGGGGTAGTGCTGGCTCAGCCCAGCTCTGGCCTCACACTCCTGGGGGTGGACCCAGAGCCTGGCCCTAGGTGAGGTGCTGACTCCACTGCAGAGCGGCCCACAGCATCACCTGCCTTTGTTTCTGGACTTGGCCTGGCAGCACAGTGGGTAGAGGGCATTTTCTGGGACAGGAGGCCTAAAAGGTCTGCGTTCTTGGCACAGGTGGCCTACCCAGACTGTAGCCCCATCATGATCCTCTCGGAAGCTTCCCTGGCTGATCTGAACACCAGGCTGGAGAAGAAAGTGAAAATGGAAAATTTCAGGCCAAACATTGTGGTGACGGGCTGCGATGCTTTTGAAGAGGTAAGTGCTCCTGGCTCCGGGCATAGTGCTCAGAACCCAACCCCCCAGCCCCAGAGACCAATCTCAAGTCCGGTTTGTCACCTGGCTTCTGACTGACTGGATGCAGATTGGAGGTTCCCATGACCCCCTCCTTGGGCTTAAACTGCCTATAATTAATTTTTTAGAGTGACTTGAACCCAGAGAAACTTTTTACTTGCCAGGTCACAGATTACTATAAGAGGATCTGACTCAGAGACAGATGGAAGAGGTGCAGGGGCCAAGGGGCAGGAAAAGGACACAGAATTTCCATGCCTTTCCCACTCTCCAATGTGTTGACCTCCCCAGAAACTCCCCAAACACCCTCCTTCTGGATATTTATGGAGACATCAATGAAGCCATGATTGATTAAATCATTGGCCAGTAGAACTTGAACCCCATTTCTAGTCCCTCTCCCCTCCCAGAAGGTGGTGGTGGGGCTGGAAGTTCCAGCTTCTAAACTCTTGGGTGGCTCCATTGGGAAGCAGCCCCCCCTCTTTAGGTGGGATCCAAAAGTCACCCTGTTAACAAAAGACACCTTCCTGGATCTCATGACAGGAAATGTCAGGGGTTTTGGACCGCTGCTGGAGGTGGGCTGAACACCCGTGAAGACCAAGTCTATGTTTTTTGTTAAAAATCAACCTCACAGAGGCCACGGCATTGAGGGACATGGGGATGTTTGTGAATCACAGGCGCTCTGTGGGGAAAGGCCAAGTGGCAGGCGGAGCTGGCTGGCGGCCTTCCTGCCCAGGAGTTTGGATTCTACGTTGTGGGTATATATTAAGGAGCTGGTAGTGATTTTGAAAGGGGAGTAGTTATGATTTGCATTCATCCGAGGTAGGAACATGCTTAGCAGCAGACTGTCTTCTAGGAAAACTTCTCAATTCCACATCAGAGTAGTGACCAGGCCTCGCCTCTTCATAGGCAGCACCGCCCAGGTGACTCTCCTGTGATGGGTGCCTGGACAAGCTCTGACTTAAGAGGAGATGAGGTGCGGATGCGAGTAGGGGCATGGTAAGGAGGGGTGATGACTTTGGTGTCGTTTTTTGGAGTCAGTGGGTTTGGAGTGCGGGGTTCTTGGGTTTACTCTGGGAAGGTTTTACCAGAGCTCCCTATTCAGCTGCAGTGGCGAGTTTCCCCGGCGAGTTTCTCCATGAGATAAGAGACATTAGTTATATTTAAAGAGCAGGTTTATTAGAAAAGGGACAGAAGAGTAAAAGACAGTTGCGTAGACACAAGTGGGCAGGAAGAGTGCCCCAATAAGGACAGGTTTGCTAAGAGAGGCTTGCATGGTCTCTGCAGGCAGGCGGCCTTGAGGAGAGCTGCCTCTGCTGAGGGAGGTCAGTGAAGTCCTGGCATGGTGCAGGTCACGGGCAGGCAGGAAGGCTGCCCTACAGAGGCAGAGAGTTGGTGAAAAGAAGCACCTGCATAGGCACAGGTGGGCAGAAGGACTTCTGCTGCCAAGTCTATCAGTGCCAGTGCAGACTGCACTGATAGACACTTCTCTTTGGGATGGGCTCACTCTTTGTGAGCCTTCAGTTAGTTGCTGATTTTGGATGACTATGCAGAATCTGAAAGGGAGTGAAGATTCTACAATGGGCTCATTCTCCAACCTCAGGCCTGTGGCTCCTGAAGATGGGATCCTTCTTTCTCCAGTAAATCCAGACTTGGCAGTATCTGAAATTTCTACAAGTTGGAGATTCTCTTTAAGAAGTTTTATTTTAAATAACCACATTTAAAAAATATTTAAATTATAACATTAGGTGCAGGGACTCAAAGGGGTCAGGTACAAGTCAGTGTGTGAGGTCTGATATTCAAGCCTTGTTAGCTCACCAGGAAACCCACCCATCTCCCCCTGACCCAGTTTCTGGGGGTGTAATTAGTGCTCAGTGTTAATGTACGTGACTCATGACAGGATTAGAAATGAGTCCTTGAAGTAAAAATTCTTTCACAAGAATCTCGTAATTGGCGCATTATTTTCTGAGAAACTTTGTTTTAGGAATAAAATTTTTCTTGCTTTATCTTCATGGGAGGACAAATTGTTTTGCTGGGAATTTTTGTTTACGATCTTGAGTCATGAGAATAAGGAGAAAAGATGGTCATTCCAGCCTGAAGATGTTTGCTCTCCTGTCGCTTCTGAAATGGAAGCAAAGGGTAATGTAAGCCTGATTGTGTTCTCAGGCAATTGGGTGGAATCTTTTTTTTTTCCTTAGTAATAAAATGTTATGTGACTTGGTGCTCCAAGTCTATTTGGTGGTTTTATTCCTATTTACTGATGAATTTATAGACATACTAAGCAAGGTAGAATACTCATGTTTTTTTCTGAGAAAGTTCTCGAACTAGCCTTATGATAAAACGATACCAATGTTGCTGATTTATTTCCTTAAGTTGGGAAGCCTGATAGCTAATAGCTAAGAAAGAACCTGATGCATGAACCATGGCCAACAGGAACTCTTTCAATTAGTGGTACTTAAATTAAATATTAATCTCAAATGATAATGCACATTAATATTTAATAGACCAACTAATAATAACAAAATACCAGAGCTAAGCATGGTGCAAAAATTCAGGCCATTACTTGTTGCAAAAACATAAACAATAGTGCCTCGTGCAACTTTACTCTGTGATCCAAAGGACAGTGCATTTTTCCATGGAGTGCTGAAATTTTAAAAGGCGGCGTACTCGGGGCAGCTCCGGGAATGGAAAGCAGCTGCGTTTTCAAATGATACAGTTGACCCCTGCTTATCTCTGCAGTTGCCCAAGGTGGAGTCAGTGCTCCCTGCACTTTGCCTCCTCTCCCAGTGAGCAGGAGCAGACATGTTTTGGGGACATCTTATTTGTCTCATTCCTCACCCCACATTACAACAGAGCAGTATGGAAACTTGGAGAAAACCCTGAGTGTGGTGTTTGTTGCTTTGGAAGTGCTTATCCAAGAAGCTTTTAGAGAGGCCTTGGATTTGAGGTCAGAAAGCTGTGGAGAAGCTCACCGCTACTCTTCCCCAGTTGTGTGATCCCTAGGACTATCCTTTGCTGCTATTGAAAAACCAAATTTTTGCAAGTTGCCATCCACAGCCAGTCTCCAATAACCTAGGTGTGGGATGTGTTAGGACTTTATTTGAGTGCCTAGATTAGAACTTTCTCTCTTGCCAAAAGCATAACAGGGACTTGTGAAGTAGCAATAATAATAATTACAGAAAAAAAAGAATGCAAATGGCTCCCAGTTATCCTCAAATGCTTACAGGATGTGCTGGTCCCTTCACTGCATCATCTCATTTAATCCTCCTTACCTCTCCAGACACAGGGTGAATGAAGGCAGTCTCTTCCCCCTACCCTAAGATCCAGGAGCTGATAAAGAAGATTTAACAATGGTACCCCACTTTTGCATCTCTGCATCAGCATATCCTTAGGTCAAACAAGCTTAGAACATGAAGCGCCTCTGTCAAGAATAATTGCATTTTTAAAGTAAATAACTCACTGTTCTTACCTAAATCAACTAAATTTCACTGTTTGTTGGAACCACTCTTGCAGAGTAAAAAAAAAATCCGTGGGGCTGCTTCCAGATTCAAATCCTCACTTTGATTATCCAATAAACTCTCTAACTCTCATTGAGGCTTTATTTCCAGGCAGCAAACTGTGCAGTAACTTATTTAGCCATTCCCTTATGCTCCACCATTTAGGCTGTGTCCCATTTTCCCTTACAATAAATAATGAACTGCTTTGTACAACGTTCTTTGTCTGTGTTTCCAAAGTTATTCTCAGCAAATGCAAAATCAGCATTTTAAGGCTCCATATGTATTGTCATGTTGTTTTGCAGAAAGCTTGTGCTGGAGTATAGTACCAGGAACTGAGCAGAGACATGCTACTTTCCTGGTTCTCTTGTCAGCAGTGATGCCTATAATCTTTACTCATCTGATAAATGAAAAACAGTGTCATGTGTAAACTGATAATTCTCATCATATCCTGTCCTGTGTGCGTCCATCCATGAGATAGAATTTTCCTTCTGTTAAGGAAACATATTTCCAGCAAGTTTATTTTTCATTTTTTTAAAGATTTATTTATTTATGCATACAAGAACTGGGGTACAGGCCAGAGGTGCGGGGAGGGGGTGAGAGGATTCACCAGAGACAGAGTGGAGAGTAGAACAGGCAGATCTACTGAAATACCCTGCTGAGGGAAGCAGCATGTGAGACAGGAGAGGTCTGCTGGGCCATATGGGTTTCTCCCTGGCTGGCTGGGGATCGAACTTGTGCTGCAGAGGCTGTGGATTGCTTGATAGTGTGGTGCTTAACCCCTTGAGCAACCAGGGAGGCCCATTTCCTGCAAGTTTACACCATTAGTCAAGATCTTGGAGTCCTCAAGCTGGCAGCACACATTTACCATGTATTGAAAGTTTGCTGGTGCTAATCTCTGAGCTGGATGCTGGGGTAACAGAAATGGACCCACTGTGCCTTCTGTGGGGGTGTTGAGACGAGGCATGCCCAGGGTTCAGCAGATGGAGGGTGACCCCAGAGAAAGGAGCACTGGATACAGGGTGTGTGTAGGGTCAGTCATAAGAGGAATCCAACAGGCTTGCTTTATAGGGGAGTGATGAAGTTTTAGATTAGAACATTAAGGGATATTATTTTACTTATATATCTTAAAAATAGTAAAAAAATTTTTGGTTTGGGAGAACTTAACTGTGTGGTATAATGGGAAATATTTGGTCTTTGTCCGCATTTCCTGACACAATTCCTAAAACCCTTGGAATTTCTTGTTATTTTTAATTAGCCCCTTGCTGGCTTGCTGAGTGTATGCTAAGGAGGTATCAGGGTAGGGTAGGGGTTAAATAGCTTCTGGATGGAAGCTGGTCACCAGAAAGACCCAGCCCTGATTGAAGAGTCGGAACTTTAAGGCTCCTCCTCCCCTCACCGACCTCACAGAAAGGCTGGAGGTTGAGTTCAGTGAGAAATGGCCAGTGACTTAATCAACCGTGCCTACCTAGTGAAACTGCCAGAAAGCTCCAGAAAGGAGGGGGTTTGGAGAGCCCCCAAGTTGGTGAACACACACCTCTGGGGAGTTCCCAGCTTCCCCACCAGAACTCACCTTCTGTATCTCTTCTGTTTGCTTGTTCCTGAGTAGTGTCTTTTAGGGTCCTGAACTGTCCTGAGTTCAGTGAGCTTCTAGCAAAATGTCAGATCTGAGGTGGGGGTCGTGGTGCTCTTGATGTATAGCTGTTTGGAGACTGACACTTGGATTTGCCCTGGACGTGGGGACGAGCTTGAGGGCTAACCTCAGGCAGTGAGCGCTGGAAGTGGAGCTCGTTGTTGGATGCCTAGTTGTTGTCATGTTGCAGAAATAAATTGTAGCCTTTTACCCATGCAAGGGAAGAATAAACGGTACTTCAGGAATGGTGAGGTCAGGAGAAGCTTTATTACTCATGCATGAGGTTTCAGACCTGGGCAGTCCCCTAAGATCTAGCTAGAGACAAAGGGTTTCTTTTATACACAACCATCTTACACTGCTAACATTGGTTAGCAAGCACAGCTATTTGCTGTAAAACTCATATACAAAGGGGGGAAGATGGACATTCGGGGATATTCTTTGAGAGATAAATCACCTTGGCCGGCTGTCCAACCTTGTTAAAATGCAACCTCGTTAAAATGTAACCTCTTTTAGATAAGCTAAAACTTAGAGGGAAAGCTCTCTAAGGAAAGGTTTATCAAGTAAGCAAACTTGTTATTTATAATTGCATGGGATTATTTACTGCACCAGGCCTAAGACCCTTTAGCAGGAACGATTAATTTGCTTAGCTGTTCCTTGTCAGTCAGAATTGCAGATCTGGTGTTAGAAAGGAAAACATCTACTTGGTGTCAGAGAGAATCAGAGAAACTTCCTAGACCAAAATGGTTTTTCAAATGTGTGGTTGGAAGGATCCTGCTTCTTATGAAAAATAAACAAAGAAGAAAATAAAAATTAGTAAAATAAACAAATCATACTGTTTAAACGTGGTGAAGAATCTTTCAACTGTATTGTTATAAATATCTACAAATAGCTCTCTATACAGACACCTTCACACAAGCGGAGTCACCCTCCGTGAGTGCGCATAGAGATGTGCTCGCTACACTCAGCAGCATCTAACCATTATTCAGTGTTAGTCAATGTAGATTCACAGCCTCCTTTCTAATACTCAGTTACCATGGTACATATGTCCCATGGGTATTTTGCTGGTCTCTGGCAGATGACTTCTAGCCTCTTGTAATCCTGTAGGATCACCGATACCAAATGAGAAAATTTGCTAAGAATTTCTAAATAATGTTGTTTATTTATGTAGTTATTCCCTCCACTTGTCTCAACAGAGCCTAAAATAGTGTCTAACAGGTGTGTGTACAACACAATATCATGAACTTATGAGCAGCAATTAGTAACCAAGAGCTGGGAAGGGAGGGGCACACGGGCCTTGAGAGTGGGCTTTGGAGTTGCCGGGGCTGGGAAAGCGGCCGCAGCAGGTGGGGCGAGGGTAGGAGGAGCATCTGAGGCTCAGGTGCCCAAAGACTCTGTGGCTGTCCAGGGGATTTGAAATGCTGATCTTCTGAAATTCGTTGCTCTTCAGGATACTCCTTGTATAGCTCATTGTCACAGCAAATCGCTCAGGCTTTTTTGCCAACTGTCTTCCCACCTGACTCAGATCTGCCGTCTAGGCCTTTGACCGTTATTTGGTAGTCAAGAGCTTCTTTGTCTCTCTCTCCACTTTTGAATTCTTTTGATAGCGACTTCCTGGCATCTGTTGTTACTTTCCTCTCTTTGTCCAGGGTACCAGCCCTCAAATAAACTGCTCTAAAGACTAACGAAGGCTTAATTCCAAAGACAAATTTCAGGGCCTTCCTGGTGGTGCAAGGGGTTAAGACGCAACCTATGAAGCTGTCTGCAGCCACTGCAGCCACACCAGCCTGCCAGGGAACAACCCACATGACACAGCAGACCTCTCCTGACACGCCTGCTGCTCCTCTCAGCAGTGTACTTCAGTCAATCTGCCTGTTCTGTTCCCCACTCTCTCACTGGTGGGTTCTCTAACCCCCCACACCTCTGGCCTGTGCAGCCACTGCAGCCACACCAGCCTGCCAGGGAACAACCCACATGACACAGCAGACCTCTCCTGACACGCCTGCTGCTCCTCTCAGCAGTGTACTTCAGTCAATCTGCCTGTTCTGTTCCCCACTCTCTCACTGGTGGGTTCTCTAACCCCCCACACCTCTGGCCTGTACCCCAGCTCTTGTATGCATAAATAAATAAATCTTTTTTTAAAAAAAGACAACTTTCCCTTTCCTCGTAGGATACCTGGGATGAACTCCTTATTGGCGGCGTAGAAATGAAGAAGATTTTGTCTTGCCCCAGGTAAGGCTTCCCAGGGGACTGGACCTCTGGGGTGTGGTGTGCACATTGGCTCTTAACCATCACCTAACTCCTGGTTATCACACTGCAGGTGCGTTTTGACCACGGTGGACCCAGATACAGGAGTGATAGACAGAAAGGAGCCTCTGGAAACCCTGAAGAGGTAGAGTGCCAGGTGTCTCCTGTATTTTTAAGAGTGTCCCCACCCCAGTGTGGCTGGCGGGGGAGGGCCTCTGTCTGTGCACCGTCCCCCTCTGGCTTCTGTCTAGTTCATGTCTGTTGGTTAATGTGAGTGATTTTCTACTCCCTCTTTTTTTTCCTCGATGGATTTTCTAGTGCTTTTGGTGCATTTCTTCTTGTGTAATGCCACATAATGAAAATTTCACCTCTCAGATCAGTTTTTATTATTTTTATGTGTATTTCCAAAGACTTAAAATATTTTATTTTTACTGCAACTCAAATTTCTGTAGTAGAATCAACATCAAGGAATATGAGAATAATTTGATGTTGTGTAATGAAATAGTAGACGAAATGGACTGTAATGGCTTGTCTGAGCTTATTTATTTGGGAGCCTCTGATGCCAAAGTGTTTTCATGTGGTTTGTCTTGTTACTTAGAGAATTTCAGGCTGACCTGGGTTCTCAAGAGAGGATGTGTTTTGAAATAGCTTAAAATACCTTAACCCAGGTTAGCCTTTGGAAGCAGATGCCTCAATTTCATTGTCCTTTCTTTTGTTTTGTTGTCTGTTTCTGATGAATCAGAGAAGAGATTATTTCTTGGGCCCTTCAGGTGTACAATTCTGGTTTGGCTTTTGATTTTTTTTTTTTTTTTTTGCATAGAAGAGCTGGGTTGTAGGCCAGAGATGTGGGGGTTGAGAGGATTCACCAGAGACAGAGTGGGGAACAGAACAGGTGGATTGACTGAAATATACTGCTGAGGTGAGCAGTGGGCAAGACAGGAGGGGTCTGCTGTGCCATGTGGGTCAGCTCCCTGGTTGGGATTGAATCTCAGGCTGTAATGGTGATGGTGCTGAGACTTAACCCCTGAACAATGAGGGAGACCCTGACTTTTGGTTTTGAAGATGCAGTGAAGTCAAATTTTCTTGCAATTAGATTCATCTATTGAAAAAAATCGCTTCAGTGAGAGTTCAGCCCATGTGCTGATGGTGTTTCTGACTTCATTGCTTTGTTCACCCATAAGCCTCATCCTCAGGCTTATGAACTTGGAACGGGTGGAATGGTATCACATAAATGCATTCAACGGGGTGTGGAGAGTTCCCCAGAGCTCCACTTTCAGAATGCATGAGTGTATGTTACAATACCTTGTGCAGTTGTGGTGCATGTAAAAAAAACTGGGCATCTTAAGTAACACCTGTACATTTTTTCTTTTTGGATTCCCACTGACACTATGAAAACATTGTTTAGACTCTTTGGGTACTTCTAGAAAATCAGGGTTATTTGAAGTCCAACTAAATGCCCACAGTTTCTCCCTCAACTGTTTGAGGGAGAAAAGACTATTTATTTTATTGATGACCTGAGAATGGAAACTTGAATTGCAGGGAAAGTATATTGATTATTTCCTTTTCGTGCCTGATAGTGAGTTTTTGTTTCTTTTCAGCTACCGCCTGTGTGATCCTTCGGAGAAGTCAATATACAAGACGTCCCCACTTTTCGGAATGTATTATACTGTGGAAAAAATCGGGAACCTGAAAGTTGGTGACCCCGTGTATCGGATGGTGCCGTGATGGTAAAGGACCACTTTGTTTCTGGAATGCAGTGCCTTGAAGCCCAGGCAACTTTTTCTTGTGTTAATTTTTTTTTTTTTTTTGCAGATTGCTGCTTTACTAGTTGGGAGAATGAGTGGTTTGTGTTCTAACTTTTCTGGAAATGCTTTTTATTTCTACTCCCCTCAGTAATCTCTATACTCCCTTCCAGGTTCTTCATCACGTTTTTCCACTTTATTATAAAATGTGCATGCAAGAGCCACTGCAGAAAGACAGGATTTTGTTCCCAGGTTATAAAGGCATGATGTGAATGAATCAGGAAGTGAAGGGGAGGGATTTTCCAGAGTTTGGCCTTTACTCTTTCTAATGCTGGTGGAAAAGTCGAGGGGGGATGCGTAAATAATTCACAATCCCTTGGGAAAAGTGTTAACTCAAATACTTTTTAAAGTGTGATTTAAATTATGAGGAATCTAAGTCCCTCAAGGTGCCTGGAATTGGAATCACAGGGTAGAAAATAATGTTCTTACATTGATTCCACCAAAACAAAATCAAACCCTGACTTCTGGGGCCCCAAATTATAGAAAAGACAGTTGGAAGACCTCAAGCTGAAGCTTTTAAGTAAATTCTTCTCCTAAACCCATAATCCAGTTCTTCCTGTCACCTTATCTCCACAACTCTTGACCATCCTTCTCACTTAACATAGTGGTTTCACGGGTCTGGCGCTATGTTATTTGAGTTAAATGGGCTAGTCCTTAGGTTGTAATCCTAGTAGCTCTGTTTCGAAATTTGGTTGAATGACTGAACCTCTCTAAAGCCTCAGTCCCCTTATCTACACAGTGGGGCCAGAATACTACTCACCAAACAATCAACTAACATTGCTTTGAGGACTAATTCATATCAAGTTGCAGCATTGTCAGGGAAGTGGAGGAAGAGTGTAGTAAATATCAGTGTGATTTTCAGTCATTGCAACAGTGACTTCACGCCTGACCTAGTCGCCGATGCCGCAGTTGGTATAAAGACGAGACAAGTCTGGCCCCAAGTGAGCAAAAAGAAATAACTTCTGTTGACTGCCTATTACAGTCAAGCCTCTACACAACCATAACCACATTACTTCTACGATTCCATATCTTAGCATCTCTGAAACCAGAACGCTTCCTAAAACATTCAGGATTCCTTAAAATAAATCATGACACATAAAAAAATGATGCAGTTTGTGCTCGCTGTATCCTGAGTTTGATGAAATGCAGTTAGTCCCAGAGAGAAAACTGTCATGCCCTCGGTTCCTGCCATTTCTGGTCTGGGGAGGATGATCAAATTGGAGTCATCTAGCCTGAGTGAAACTGATCCTGTGATCTGCTGTTTGTTTAGGTCACCGGGTCTGGATCTAGATCTTGGCCTGAGCCTTGTTCTTTCAGGTTTTCTGCTCTTGTGGGAGCCCAGTAGCCCCTGAGTTACCTTAGCAGTCCACCCTACTGCTGCATCTGGGATCAGTCCTGTTTAACAATGAACCACACCTGTGGTTCCCTCAGACTCAGGGATTTCAGTTGTCCTGGCTCCCTAGGAAACCTTGGGTATGAAAGAACTTAAGATATATGTTACCTTTTGTAATAGTTTTAGGTGATTGAGAGATGATAAGCAGCATTTCTCTGAGCTAAGAAACAATGGCTCAGAAAAATCCACTGGCCCAGGGCAAAGGAGCTGAGAGCTCAAAGCCCTGCCCCACATCTCACCATCCACTTTGGAAGGAAATAACTAGAACATGGGCACAGATTCAGTGCTTCATGGATTCAAAGGAGAAGGAAATTTGTTCTGGAGGGTGTGGTGGAGGAAAGCTTGAGGATACAGATGGAATCTGACCTTGTGAGAAAGGAAGTTCCAGAGAATGCTCTAGGCATTGAAGGTGATGGAAGCACTTGGGAGGGTCAGCCCCTTGGGATCTAGCAGCAGAGGAAGATGAGGGGAGGAAGGTGGCCAGAGAGAGTAGGTTCTTGAGTGTTATTTTGCAGGTAAAAGTAGCTGTGGAGGATAGTTAAGCCCAAATCGTGTTCAAAACTGCTTTTTGGAGATATCCCTGTGATCCTTGGTGGGAGGGTCCCAAGGGAGGTGGCCAAGCTCCCATAGGGCTTTGTACCTTCCCCACCCCAAAACCTTCTGCTTGAACCTGGGCACTTCCTGATATTCTCCTGTTCTAAGCCTGCTCCTCCAGGAACCCGGCCCTCAGAGTCCCACGTGGGGGATTTCCCTGCCTCCAAAACCCCAGAAGCACTGAGAGGTTTCCTCTCTGATGATCCATTTCTATTATGCTTTAGAAATTACAGCAGTGTGTATGGGCTCTGGAGACTTGGTGCTGGAGAGTGTACATCTGTGCATGTGAAATTATGTGGTTTTGTGAACAAAGGGTGAATCATTAAATTTTAATAAAAGCAAAACAAAACAAAACAGCAGTGTTACACATCTGCTTTATGTGAGCACCTGTGCATTCCAGAGGCCACCCTTCACACCACAGGCTTTTTAAAGCCTTTAAAGAATAGCAGTTAATACTGCACCAGTGTTACCTGAATTATTGATTTGTTCATTTAAAATATAATCATATAAAACTTATCTGTCCCACTATAAATATATGTTCATCACCAAAATTAGAAAATAGCAGAAAAGTAGGAGAAAGCAAGCATATGGTCAGTGTTTGATTTTGTTTTTTTAATATAGCTGTAACATTTTATACAAGGATATATGTATTACATAATTTATGCATCTATAGAATCATATATGTGTATTTATATATTATACATTACATATTATATAGACTATGTAGATGTATAATATCAATAATACAGAGGATACCATATGATATATATGACATCTGTTTTATATATACAGCTATGTCATATATAACATGATATATAAAGGACATACTTTATGCATATACTATATAATATATGCATTATATATATTACATGATATTTATATATAAATACACATAGAACTAGGTATCAGAATGTGAAAAGAAAAAAAATAAAATATGAACAAAATTAGGGCATTGTCAGTGGGTGCAGCCTTGCTGTGAAGACCTGGTCCTCACCATCAGCTGTCCATCTGCATGGGTGGCCCCTGGAATCCTGGAGCCTCTGGCCATGCGTGAGCCAGAGACAGCCAATAAAAAGGCATTTTCCTTATAATAAAACCCTCATCTCCTGAATTCTTGCCTTTCTCACACATGGATTGCCTAGCAAAGACCACAATTTTAAGGTATACATACTACTCTGCAGAAGTTACCATATGCCTGAGAAAATCATGCTTTTTCCACTAAGGTACTTGGTACAGGAAATAGTTTATATTTCCTTGTTTTAACCTCAATTGTGGCTGTGTTTTGTGGGTGTTTGCATTATTTATGAGTATAAGAGAAATGCTCAAATAATCGGAGGGTCTTATCATTTATTCAGGTTTCAGCATCCAGAGGCTCTGATGAGGAATTTAACCATAGCAGCAACATGTGGGTGAATTCTTGCTATGCTACCTGGACCAGCTTTACCTTGGAAATAAATCTCTTGCTTTTGATTGTTTGGAATTATGCATGCTCCACGTTAATGCAAGAAAAGTCTTAGAGGTGATTTGGGGATAAGAAGGTATAGCAATTTTAAGTAATGAAGACTTTTTAAATAAAAAAAGATTGCCTATAAAATTATGTTGAATGTTACTATAGCTGTTCTTCAATCCTTGACATTAATCTTGATGAGTAAAGAAAGTTTAAAGAATCAACTAAATATAGCTGTAAGATTAAAAAAATTTTCTTAAATGTGCACATTTTATCATTCTGTGTTCTTGAAGAATGGGAAGGAAACACGTCTTCTGGGTGTGTCTTAACATGTTAACACACTCACAGATTCCGATTGGTGATTCTTTACTGCACTATTGGGTACTATCAATTTTTTGCTCATGCGTTTTTGACCTCACTTGAGTATGGAAATTATTTCATAGGCTTTGTTTTTATACTCAGTCTCACCTCTCTTAGCCTTGTAAAAATCACATGGAATGCCAAATACAGCACATGGAATGCCAAATATGACAACAAAGAACATGTAATTGAAAAGAGAATGGAATTTTGAGAGTTTAAGTGGGAGGAAGTATGCATAACAGTTTTCAGGTGCAAATAATTTTTGTAACAGAAATGAACTATTTTGGTATGACTAAACAAATTTTTTCATGAAATAATATGAATCCATTACAAATCTGTATTTTGATATTAATAAAGGCCAATCTCTCAATTGCACATTTTCTTCTTTTGCATCTGCTTCCATGCCTTTTCTCATTTTATGTTAGAACTTTGAGGCCTGTCATTCATTTTTGGTTTCCTTTTCTGATTGACTAGCAGAGATGCAAAAGGGGTTCCACAAACATAGCACCTGTCAAGGGGGATGGGAGTCAAGGGGGGTGGAGAGGGTGGGGAAGACACAAGATGCTCATTTAGGCATCTTGGCAAGGAGAGGAGCAGCCCCATACTTCCCCCACATTCCTTACCCCACATTCCTTCCATTCCTTGGTGGGAATAGAATCCCACCATTCATGGCCAGAGATGCCTGGGGCTGGTGAGAGGACTCACCAGAGGCAGAGTGGGGAACAGAACAGGCAGACTGGCTGAAATACACTGCTGAGGGGAGCAGCAAGCGAGACAGGAGAGGTCTGCTGCGCCATGTGGGAATCTCCCTGGCCTGCCGGGAATAGAGCTGGTGACTCGGGGGGCTGCAGACAGCCTCACAGCGCTGCACTCAACCTGCTGTGCCACAGGGGAGGCCCCTAGCCTAATTTTTTTAATGGACAAATAATATTGTGTTAGTTTAAGTTGTACAACATAATGGTTTGGTATCTTCCTATTTTATGAAATGGTTAACACACTAAGTTTAGTTAACATCTGTCACCTCACGTAGTAGCCATTTTTTTTTCTCGTGATGAGAACATTTAAGATCTTTTCTTAGAAATTTTTAAACATACAGTACATTATTGGTAAGTATCATCACTATGCTGTATGTTTCTCATTGCATGTTTGATTTTGGGTCTTTTCCTAGTTCGTCAGAGTACAGATGAAAACTCACAATCTGGGTCACCCCTGTCTACCCCAGGGTTACCCTTTAACAGCTGCACCAATTTATATTCCTACCAAGAGAATACAAGTGTCCCCCTTTCTCCACATCCTACCCAACACTTGTTGTCTTTTTAATAACAGCCATTCTAACTTGTATGAAGTGATATCTCACTGTGGCTTGGAGCTGCATTTCCCTGATTATTGACATTAAGAATCTTTTCATGTACTTGTTGTCTCTTGTTTGTCTTCAGAAAAGACCCTCAGACTATTTTAAAATCAAATTGTCATTTTAGTGATTGAGTTGTATGGCCTCTTTCATATGTTTGGATTTTAATCCCTTATCATATATGATATATACATATTTTCTCATATTCTTTAAGTTACCTTTTTATATTGTTGATGATTTCTTTTGCTGTTCAGAAGCTTTTTAATTTGATGTTTATTTTACCCTTGTGCCTTTTGCTTTTGATGTCAAATCCCCAAAACCATTGCTAAAACCAGTGTCTAGGAGCTCACTTCCCATGTTTTCTGCTAGGAGTACGGTTTCATACTCATAATAGTCTTTAATTCATTTTGAGTTCATTTTTGTATGTAATAATGATAGGGATCCAATTTTATTCCTTGGCATGTGAATTTCAAATTTTTTCAACATCATTACTAAAGCGACTGGTTTTTTCTAATTGTATATTCTTTGCTCCTTTGTCATAAACTAATTGATTATGTGTGGATTTATTTCTGAGCTCTACTATGTTGTGTTGATCTATGTGTCTATTTTAAGCCAATACCATAGCTTCTTATAGCTTTGTAAAATAGTGTGAAATCAGAAAGTGTGATTTGTTTTCTGTCTCAGGGTTGTTTTGGTAATCTTTTGTTGTTCCATATGAATATTGGTACTATTTTTCCCTATCTCTGTTAAGAATGCCATTGAAGTTTGCATTGAATCTGTAGATTGCTTTGGGTAAGTGATCATTTTAATAATAGTCCTCTAATGCATGAGTGCAGGATATCTTTCCTTTTATTTGTGTCTTCTTCATTTTCATTAAATCAAAGTTTTATTGTTTTAGAATATAATCTTTCACCTCCTTGGTTAAGCTTATTCCTTTTTTTATTAGTATCCAAAGGGCAAATTTATTGTACTAAACAAAGGGGGAGGGGGAGAAGGCTTGCATAGACACAAACAGGCAGAAAGAGCTGTATTTGGAAGAGACAGGTTTGTTAAAAGAGATGCCTGCATAGACACAGGTGGGCAGTCTTCAGATGAGAGTTGTCGCTCCATTTTTGCTAAGGAAAAAAGTTGGTAAAATAAAACACCTACAGGGCCTCCCCTGGTGGCGCAGTGGTTGAGCGCTGGGTTGCGAGGCTGCCTGCAGCCTCTGCAGCGTCAGTTTGATCCCTGGCCATCGGCGAGGGTCCCACAAAAAAAAAAAAAAAAAAGAAAGAAAGAAACACCTACATAGTCACAGGTGGGCAGGAGAGCTGCTATTTCATTCTTTATGGTGCAAATTTAAATGGGATTATTTCCTTAATTCCGCTTTCTGATATTTTGTTGTTAGTGTATAGAACTGCAATAGATTTTTGTATATTCAGTCTGTGTCCTGCAACTTTACTGAATTCATTGATTAGTTCTGTAACAGGGTGGTCCCCAGGAAAGGGGGAGGTTCCAGGTTTCCTGCCCCACCCAAGGGAGGGTGTTGCTGAGCAGGGAGAGAAGAAGCTGCAGAGGAGACTGAGGAAGGAAGGAAGCAGGATGGGGAGCCAGAAGGAGACCTGGAGGAGGCACATGGAGCAGAGAGACATGTGAAGAAATTGCGCTTGCCTTTTGGTTGTGGACTGGGTGACACAGATGTGGGTGAGAGACACGTGGGGAAGTGACAATGGCGGTTTTGTATTGATTTTGATTTTGCTCTTTTCCTTCCGGGCTTGTCTGGTTGTTTCTGATCCTTTTCTGTGGGTCCCCACTGGAAGATGCTTTAGACTTGTGGCAGGCTTTGGGGCCTAGCTCTGGGCCAATCACATTTGGATGAACTTTTACCCACGAGGGGACGGGTAACTTTAGGTGCTTGATTTAGAAACTAGATTCTTTGCCTTCCCTGTATTGTTTACTAATTGTATTAAAGTTTCTTCCCATTAAAGTCTCATATGTTTTGTGTTGATGCAGCAGCTGACAGAACCTATTTAGAACAGGCAGGTATGCCAGGTCTGGGCTGCCCCTCTCCCTGCCCTGTAACAGTTCTAACAGTGTTTTGGTGGAGCCATTAGGTGTTTTTCTATATACTTTCACATCCTCTGGAGACAGAGTTTTACTTTCTCCTGTCTGATCTGAATGTCTTGTTTCTCTTTCTTGCTCATAGCTCTGATCAGACTTCCAGCACTACATTGAATAGTAGTGGTGAGAGTGGGCATCCTTGTCTAGTTCCAGATCGTGAGGTGCAATAGTCTGGAATAAAGTTTTCCTTAGGGTTTTAACAAGCATCAGAATAGCTTTTTCTTTGAGGGCCAGGCACATCAGCTTTCTTTGAGACCCAGAGACTCTTAATACGCAGGGCCCTGACGAGTGACCTTGCTGGACACGTGACCTGACTTGGAATAACTAGTGACGGGTCAGCGCCGGCTTGGCCTGGAGAGGTTCCCCGCTGCCAGGAAGAAGACTGGGACATTCTGTTTTACATTTCCCAGCGCAACCCTGGTGAATGCAGAGCCCGCTCTGGGGCTTGGGGCCTAGAGGAGTAGGATGCGCGCTAGTCCTGCAGAGGCGCTCTCCGCGACCCCCAGGGGCTCTGCGTTATCACCGGGGGAACCCCGCCGCCTCTGGCCCCTTGCAGGCTTTGTTCCAAGTCCTCGAGGGCCTGGTCGCATCTCCCAGTTCTCAAATTTTCCCTGATCGAAATCCCCGGTCCCTGCGCCGTAGGCCGCACGGGTGATGGCGGGCCCCTGGGTGCTCCATTGGGGGCCACACCGCGCCAGCGCGCTCTCCCGGAGAGCGCTTCCCTCTGCCTGATCTCTAATTGCGAAATCACCCTTTGGCCTGCTAATTTTGCATTTTGGTCTAGTTTAGGTAGGTCAGGAGCCCACCAACAGATAAGAGAAACGGGTCGCTCGCAGCCGGGCGGCGGAGGTGGAGGGGCAGAAGATGGTGCCGAAGCTCAGCCTCCGCCTTCCACCCCGGGGCCCGGGGTCACCGCCCGGGAGGAGGTCGCGCGGCTTTGATGCGCCGGGAAGGGCCGGCCTCCTCCGGGCCCCGGGCCAAGGCTGCTCCTCCCCCAGTGGCCCCGGGCTGCCGGGCAGGCGCGCTTCGGCGCTGGGTGCAGCCAGAGCGTCGGTCTCGCCCGCCTGCGCTCGGCATGGGCGCCGCGGGCTCCTCCGCTCTGGCCCGCCTGGGCCTCCCGGCGCCGCGGCTCCCCGCGCAGCCCCGGCCGGCTTGGCTGGGGGTGGCCGCGCTGGGCCTGGCGGCCGTGGCGCTGGGGACGGTCGCCTGGCGCCGCGTTGGGCCGGGCCGGCGCCGGCGGCGGCAGCAGGTGGGCACCGTGGCGCAGCTCTGGATTTACCCGGTTAAGTCCTGCAAGGGGGTGCCGGTGAGCGCGGCCGAGTGCACCCCCATGGGGCTGCGCAGCGGCCACCTGCGCGACAGGTAATACAGGGCCCGGCGGGGTGGGTAGGGTCCACCCACAGTTCCTCCCTCTGCGTTATAAAGACCCTGGAAGCAGGGAGGGCAAGGAAAAAGGACCCTCACCTCCCAAGAGCAGACCCGGGGTGCCCGGGAGGCTGGGCCTTTGTGTCCCGACCCGCCTTAGGGCGCCCCAGGATTTGCGCCCTCCGGGGGTGTGGTATCCGCCCCCTGTGGGGAGCCAGCGCGCCAGCCAACTTCTTAAACTCCATTTAGCGGAGGCGCGAGCTTGAGGGAATTGGTGCTTACACTTCATTTTTAGGAATCGTCTCTTGAGAACTTGGGGAAACTTGGGAGTTGCAGAGATCAGCCCCCCAAAGCACACCGAGTCGGAGTGCTTAATCATCAGGATAGCAGTTGAAGTATAAGCGTCTTGCAGCTTGAACGTGCTTATTTCCCCTAATTATTTTCCCTGATTCTCTCAAACACTCTTCTGCAAGTAAAGAAGCTGAGGGTCCATGCCACAGGGGTCTTGGACCCAGGGCTCTCGGTTTCCGTCACTCACTCTTGCTTTGTGAAGAGTCGTTGCATCAGTGCCCTAGCTGGGTAGTCACTTCTGCATGAATTCCTGGGGGACAGCGAAGGTTACAAAACCCCAGAGCCACTGCTTTGCCCTCTTCTGGGTTTGGCTTCATGTCAGCACCCACCCTCCCTCATTGTAAGCCTGCCATTTAAACTCCTTTCTTCCAAAACAGGCCTCCCCACTTGGGCAAAGAATGCCCAGGGCAGACTGGGCTGTATGTGCCCCCCCCCCCGCCCCCCGCCCCCCGCCCCCCCCTTACCTCTCTAGACACTGGGCAATTCATGACGTTGTTGGAAGGAAATGCCCCTCTGCTTCAGGAAGGAAGCCAAGAATCCAAGCTACTCCATGGTTTGTCCAGTGAACTCTGAAAGATGGTAGAATTCATTGAATTTGCTTTTTTAGGCCCAGGAAGCAAAAGGCATTGTAATTTTACTCTACCCAGTCAAAAAACATTAATTTAGCTCATATTATAGTAGCTAATGACAGAAGCTGGCATTTGTACCAGATGCCACGGTAAATTCTTTATTTTTGCTATCACATACTACCTGAAAAGTAAAGCAAAAGAAGCAAGCAAAGCTCCCAGTTTTGGGGAGGAAATGAATCTTCCTTTACCCTGCTAGGTCCCTAGGCTGGAAAATAATTAAACTGACACCAGAGAATAGTAAAAGAAAAGACTATCTTACTCACCTGTGCATGGAGGCCTAGGCACCCAATAATGTACCCAGTGGAACCTGGAATCGGCTCATTCCAGTGAGGTTATATGGTCTCTAGAAAGGGGCAATCGTTTGAGGGGAAAGACAGAACAAAGAATTTTGCAGTTTGCAGAAGAAGGGATTTGGTAGAGTTGATGTGTAGACGCATTGTAGACAGCTTGCCAGCCTTAGTTTGGGGTAATAAGCCTCTAAAGGTGGCTTCCCATCTCCTCCCTGCCATGGACAGCTCCTATTTTTAGGGAGATAGATAATAAGGCAAAACAGCATTCTTGTATCTTCTATCCTCAATTAGTAACTGATTCAATGTGACAAGTGTCAGGTAACATTGAGAAGGGGGCACCAGAAATTCTTTGGGCTGGTCAGAAATGACCTCATAGCTTGAATGGAATATTAAAAAGGGATTATGTATTTTCTGGGTACAATGGAAAAGCCGATAGACTTTTCCTTCCTTTGTGGGAAAAACCTCAGCTCCTTCTACTGAATGATTCTTCCCTGTGCATCTCCTTCACTCTCACACAGCACACTTTGCTTCTGGGTGCTGGGCTTCCTACCACAAGCAGTTGTCTGTGGCACCAACTGGGTTGCCCATATTCACGGCAGGATTATTCACAGCAGCCAAACAAGAGGAACAGCCCCAGTGCCCTGCAGTGGTTGAAAAGGGAGACATGGTCTGCACACACACTGGAGCAGTATTCAGCCACAAAAAGGAATGGATTTCTGACACACACACCACAGCATAGGTAAATCTCAATAGCATTATGTTAAGTGAAATAAATCAGCCACAAAAGGACAACTATAATATGATTCCAGTTATTGCAAAGATCTAGAATAGGCAATTTCTTAGAGACAGAAGTAGGTGAGAGGTTGCAAGGATTCAGGCGAGAGGGTACTGGGGAGGGATTGCTTAATGGGTGTAGAGTTTCTTTTTGGGATGATGAAAAGGTTTTGGAAATTGATAGTGGTGATGGTTTCACAACATGGTGGATGAACTGAAAACCACTTAAGTGGGCACTGAGCATTGTTGAGATCACACTTATTTGAGTATCCCTTCTTGGTTTGATAGACATTTGAGCTGTTTCCACCTCTGTTGCTATGAATGCAGGTGTATGAGCTTGAGCACCAGTTTTCAGTGCTTAGGGACATGTCCTTTTGCATATGCCCAGAGTTATATGCTATTTATATCTTCCCACAATCAAACAATTAAAAAGAAAACTCAGGCTGGTGTGTGTGAGGGCAAGGGAGGCCAGAATGACTAGGAGAGCAGCTGGATTCAAGAGTTAGGGTTGGCTCCTGAAAGCAGGAACCATGAGGATTTTGAGTGAGGGGGAGGCATGATCTGAATTTACAATTGAGAAAGATCAAGCTACTTTTATTACTAGGAAGAATGAGTAGCAAGAATATTCATGAATTAGTATCTGTGATTTAGGAAGGACAGAGCTCTATCTGTGTCTGGGATGAAGGGCTGATAAAAATGCAGTTTGAGGAGGAAAAAAAGGCAGTTTGGGAACCATATTTTCTAGGGTGACTTGACAATTCAACCATGATGACCTGCTGGAAGTGACACAGGGATATTTTTAATGAGCTAAAGTATCTGCCATGTGTTCTTCTTTTGTCTGTGGTCCCCAGAGTACAGGTTCCCTTCTGTAATTGTAGTCATTCTCTCTGATACGAGTTTAAGTTAGCAAAGTCTTTCTTTGCTAACCTCACAAAAATGTGGTTTTTTCCTGGAAATGTTTCTTTCTATTGCTCTTGATTCTCCATTCACCTTTTTCTGGGAGGTACATCTAGTCCAGGAGTACGGGTCAGGAAAAATATTGTCCATGTGAACAATAGACCTTGTAGCAAATTGCAGAATTCACAGTCCCAAGCATTGAGACATAGATTTTTTTTTTTTTAAGGAGGGCATGGAATTGTCCAGGTGTCCATGGCTTTGTACGCTGCTTAACTGAACGCTCTATTCCACCAACAGTTCTTTCAGCAGAGCCCCGTGCCTACTGTCTGCCAAGCACTGTGCTTCCTTCTCCCTCATAGTCTTCTGTGAAATAGACTCTCTCGTTTAATGAAAATAATCAGACCTCTGGCAATTGAGACAAAATCATAGTTAACCTCTTTGATTTCTGTGCCATCAAAGGGCAAAATGTTCCCCAGATATTATGTCTGATGCTTGAGTGATTATTAAACCCTTTGGAATGAACTGTCACTCAGTCATGCCTTGCTGCTGGGTTGATGTCCAGTACAGACACACACCAGCTCACACGTGGGGTCGAGGTGGCTCCTGGAGAGCCCCATCGCCCCTCGTGGTGATCCCTGCATGTCTTCTCTTTGGAAAATGGCAGGTTTTGGCTTGTGATCAACGAGAAGGGCAACATGGTGACGGCCCGTCAGGAACCTCGTCTGGTCCTGATTTCCCTGACCTGTGAGGGGGATGCCCTGACCCTCAGTGCAGCCTACACGAAGGACCTGCAGCTGCCCATCACCGCACCCGCTAGCAATGCGGTGCTCAAGTGCAGGTAGGAGAAGGCGGCTCTCAGCCCTGGCGTCAGAAGTTCTCTTGCAGCTTTCAGGAAGGGTCGACTGACGACAGATGGAATCCTGGGAAACGATATCAAATGAACCGTTGTCTGCAAATGTGTTGATGGGAGATGGACAGACTAAAGTCCTATGTAGAAACCATGGGGACAAAGAGTGTTGATAGTCAGCAAGAGATAAATGAAACCACAGATGGGTAAAAGGGCAAAAGTGGGGTGGGGGTAGCTAAGGAGCGTGTCCTGGAAGAGGTGAGCTGAGATCTCTGTATCTCCGGTGGCTTTCCCTAGTCAGCCCTTCCAGAGCTGAGTGAGGGAAGGAGTCACAAATGATGGTGTGACATGGGGTATTTGCTTCTACCGGCATTGGAAGTTCCAAGATAGAAGTGAGCAGCTGCAACCAAAAAATGGGGGCCTGGGGTCCCTGACATAGTGCGGACGCTCCTTCCTTAACATCTGAGGAATTATATCAGGAAAATTAATTTCTAGTAAATCATGTCCAGAATCGATTCTCTTACCCGTTTTGGGAAAATTGAAGTAGAGTCTCATTACTCTATTTGTACGGTTTTGGGCATTTTGATTAAAATGCAATGTGAACGCTCCAGGAAGTGCATCACATCAAAAATATGTCTTGGTAGAAAATGTCTAAAGACCTCCCAAACTCAAAATGCCATACCAGGGCATCCCTGGTGGTGCAAGGGGTTAAGACACAGCACCATGAAGCAATTCGCAGCCTCTGCAACATGAGTTCGATCCCCAGCCAGGGAGGTGACCCACATGGCCCAGCAGACCTCTCCTGACTCACCTGCTGCTCCCCTCAGCAGTGTATTTCAGTCAATCCACCTGTTCTGTTCCCCACTCTGTCTCTGGTGAATCCTCTCACCCCCCACACCTCTGGCCTGTACCCCAGTTCTTGTATACATAAATAAATAAATCTCTAAAAAAATGTGATACCAACATATCTTATATAATATCTTAGAGTTTTAAATATGACAGATTTTCATTTACATGTGGTGGTTTTCTGTCTGTAAAAGGAATGCATATTCATAATTAAAGATGGCAAAATAGCAAAAAAAAGAAGGAAAACAAAATCCTCCTGAGATCATTTTGACATATTTAGTTATTATTGTGACATGTTTTCTTTTTGTCTCTATGACTTTTAAATTCAAATTGAAATAATATAAAAATCAGAGTCATGAATATTGTTATACAATTAAGTTGATATGTTAAGTATTTTTTGATATGTTTTTAAAAGAACTTCAGGAATCTCATTTTTCATGTTGGCATAATATTTCATTCTGCTTCTAACATGTCTCCATGATTAAACATTTGTTTGGATTGTTTTCCATCTCTTCCAGGTATGAAGAAGAATGTGGTAAATATCTCAGCCTAAATTTTGTTTGTATTTCTTATCAACTCTTGAAGGAAAATTAAGTAGTCATTTTGTGAGAAAAAAGAGTCTGAGTCTGATAAATGTTTGATATAGGTCGACACATGGTTTTCTGCCACTAAGGGGATAGAGAGAATTGGGACTGTTAGGTAGATTATTGGGGCCAACACCCTCCTCCTGTGCCCACATCATCAGGGCTTTCAGGAGCGTTTGGATTTTACTTGTTTGTGCTTGGGTCTTCAGGGCCAGAGGGATGCTGGGTCAGCATCATACTGGACTGCTTAGGGCACCGGAGAAACATGGGGGCAAAGAAGAATGCAGAGAACATTCTGTGCATAGATAGGTGCTGACTGATGAACCTGAACCCCACCACCTACATTTGGAGGCTGCCATGAAAGAAAGTGTCAGGACTAGGCATGGCTAAATGCTTTTGATAACCCTAATAGATGCAGATGCTTAAATAATGTAAAATACTTCTTGTCAATCTAAGTCCTAGGCAGCCTCCTCTCTACTGCCTGCTGCTGGCCTTTCACCCTCCTGTACACTCAGCTGAGGAAAAGCCCTAGGACTGACTGGCTGTAAGGGTTTGTCCTGGAGGAAGAGGCTGGTTTCTTTGAACAGGCACCAGCAGAGAGCCATCTAACAGGGAGGGGGCACTCGAGGATGTCTACGTGCATTTTGGTAATGCTGCCATTGCTCAGGGTGCTGGGAATGGACATTTTAGCCATCCCACTACACACTCTCTCTCTCTCTCTTACTCATGCTCAGTTCTGCAAATCTTCCCTCTTTTATAGTGGATTTAATTTTGGAAAAAAGCAAGAAAGTTGTTTGGAGTTAAGTATGATGAAGAAGGAGGTGATCAAGTTATGCAGGACTTTTTTCTTGCTTTAAAAAATATGGTTAGATTCAAAAGTAGTAAAGTCCACTTCTTGTGAGTCTTCTGAATTAATGATTAATATTAGATGAAGTACGATCAGTATTAGGATGACCATGATTTATGCAGAATCATAAACCACTCCTATGCTTATTTGTTATTTAAATTGATTCAGCTTTTGAAAACCTTAAACACACTTATTTAAAAAGGAATCCTTATGCTTTCCTTGTGTATATGCTTTCCTTGTGTGTAAAATTTGCCAGGCATAGAAGGCAGGGAAACATTAAATACGTACAAATACCCACCCTGTCTCTGGTGACTCCTCTCACCCCCTGCACCTCTAGCCTACACCCCGGCTCTTGTATGTATAAAAAAATAAATCTTTAAAAAAATAAAATTGCCTAATTCTAAGTAGAAACTATCACCCCAAGAGGTCTCTGGATCTAGTTCTAGTCTTTCTCTTTTGAAAAAGATGTACATGGCATGTTACCAGATTCAAGACTTGCCATCACTAGACTGCAGGGTTAACATGGTGGGGTCCAGCTCCCCTGGTGTTTCTTTCCTCAATAGTTATGACGTACCACAACTCCCAAACCGTCCTGCTCACAAAATATCAGGAGACAACACTGCAAATCCCTCAGGGGTGTTAGCAGCAATCATGACAAGCTAGATTGTTCTTGTTAACTACATTTTAGATTCTATAGAACATTTGCACACCAAATACTTTGTCTAGTTTTATGATTGTATCAATTAAGTAGTCAGGCCTCGCTTATTATTTTTTTTTAAGTAATAACAGAATCTTTATTATTTCAGTTGTCTTCCGGCCATGTATGCTTTCTTGTTGATTTTCTTTGCCAGTGACTTTTAGGCCACTGCTTGTATCTTGTGACGTATACCTGTGAGAAGCTGCATGAGGCAGGACATTTTTCTATTTGAAGTATTGCTCCAGCTTTGTTTCTTTTTTCTTTTTCTTTTTTTTTTTTAAAGATTTGTTTGTTTATTTATTTATTTATTTATTTATTTATTTATTTATTTATTTATTTATTTATACAAGCACTGGGTACAGTCAGAACCGTGGAAGAGTGAGAGAATTCACCAGAGCCAGAAAGAGGAGCAGAACAGACAGACTGACGTAGTACACTGCTGAGGAGAGCAGTGGGTGGCAGGAGAGGTCTGCGCGCCATGTGGGACCCTCACGCATTGGCTGGGGATCTAACCGGTGCTGCAGAGGCTGTGGGCAGCTTCACAACCCAGTGCTCAACCGCTGTGCCACCAGGGAGGCCCTCCAGCTTTGTTTCTTAAAGCAGTGTCAGACAGTAAGTGGAAGTTATCGGCTGCTGTGTAGTAAAATATGATTTCTCCCCCAGGCGCTTGTGCCAAAGCAATCAGAATTAGGATTCAGATTATTTTCACAGGTGAATTGTCTTGCAGTGCTTTGGCATTGCTTAATTAACCATATGGGAAATAAGAGGAAGTACAGGAGGGCGACTAAGACTGGGCAACCTTATAGGATCCTGGGGAGGAAGGTGCTTATAGGACAATCTGATAAATAGTGCTTGGCTCAGGAGATGTCAAGGGACATGATTGCAAACAGGCTGATGGTTGTCCTTTGGGTTTATCCTTTCTGATCTTTCATATAAAGGTATTAGAGTGAACGAACAGAAATCAGTTTCCAGAATGAGGAAGTGAGGCAGGAAGAAAAAGCATAACACACAGATTAGCCAGGACCATTAGTCAGACATTCTGATGGCTATCCAGCTGAGTGAACCAGATTTTGCAGTCATTATAAGTTTTCTTTCTACATAGATCCATTCATTTCCTTCTGGAGAACTCTGTCTTTTCAAACTATGATCTCACTGTCTTCTCCCTGCATTCTTCCAGGGAGGGAGGTAGAGGTAGGCAGCACTTTAGTTTAAAATGAGGGACAGCAAGGCTGGAAATGGCTTTCTTTTAGGGGCACATAGTGGTCAGAGGCAGGACAGGTTGAAACAACATCTCTCCATAATTCAGTAACTACAGCCACATCGCAGCTGGCTGCAGCTTTTCTACCATGTGGAGGACATGCCAGAGACCCAGATTTTTCAAAGCACTGACCCTTCTTTGCCCTTGCTGCCCCCTGCAGAGTGCACGGCCTGGAGATCGAGGGCAGGGACTGTGGTGAGGCCGCAGCCCAGTGGATAACCAGCTTCCTGAAGACTCAGCCCTACCGTCTGGTGCATTTCGAGCCTCACATGCAACCGAGAAATTGTCACCAAATAGAGGAACCATTCCCACCCACAGACCAGGTCAGGGGAGCATGCTATGGCTTTGGCCTTGGGTGTGTCCCATGGAAGGCAGGCTTTTTTGGGGGCAGATCTCCTGAACTCTGCTGTCATTGTGCTTGATAGACCGCAGGCAATGGGCGGCAATTGTCCTTCTCCTGGGAGCATCATCTGCACTTTTTGATTTGGGGACTCTTGCATTTTCCCCATGAATATTTGCCTATGTCATGTCAGCCTGCTGGTGCAAAACTGTTGTACACCAACACCTCTCCCTTTCCTTTCTGTGATTGCTTAAGGTGTTCAACATTTTAATGATTTGATGGCATTTGTGTCGGCTCGTAGGTGGCAAGTGTGTGCAGGTGCAGAGAGCCATACTCTGAAAACGCCATAAATGGCAAATATTGCAATAAAGAGAGTCCCACAATTTTTGGGTTTCCCAGTGCATTTAAAAGTTCTGTCTGTACTAGTGTGTTCTGTTGAGTGCGGAATAGTAGTCTAAATAAAATGACTAGACCGGCACTTACAGGAACACGGTGTACAATGCACAGTGCTTTGTAGCTCAATTACTATGGCATCTAAAAAATATGGGCCTCTCCTCTCCTGGTGGCGCAGTGGTTGAGCACTGGGCTGCAAAGCTGCCCGCAGCCTCTGCAGCACCGGTTCAATCCCCGGCCACCGGACGAGGGACCCACATGGCGCGCAGACCTCTCCTGCTGCCTGCTGCTCCCCTCAGCAGTGTACTTCGTCATTCTGCCTGTTCTGCTCCCTGCTGACTCTGGTGAATTCTCTCACCCTCCCACACTTCTGACTGTACCCAGTGCTTGTATAAATAAATAAATAAATAAATAAAATCCTTAAAAAAAAAGTTTAAAAAGGGCCTCCCCTGGTGGCACAGTGGTTGAGCGCTGGGCTGCGAAGCTGCCTGCAGCCTCTGCAGCGCCGGTTCAATCCCCAGCCACTGGCACGAGGGTCCCACATGGCGCAACAGAGCCCTCCTGCCGCGCCCGCTGCTCCCCTCAGCAGTGTATTTCGTCAAGTCTGCCTGTTCTGTTCCCCACTCTGGCTCTGGTGAATTCTCTCACCCCCCTGCGCTTCTGACTGTGCCCAGTGCTTATATAAATAAACAAATAAATCTTAAAAAAAAAAAGTTTAAAAAGATATATATATATATATATATATATATATACACTCAACGGAAGTACTTAACATTGTTGTGGAGTTGCATATCTGTGGAATCCATGTAATATTTTTCATCTCACATTATATAGTCATCAAACCCATTCACTTCACTAAACTTTTGAGAAATTAAAGGCTTAGAAAGGTGAGGTGACTTCCCCAAAGCCACTGGCCAATGGCAGGTCTAAAATCACAAGTCCATGTTCTCGTCATTCCACCCATGTAATTCCTGTCATCTTCAAGTCTTCTTGAGGTTTCTGAATCACCATGATATTTCTATAAAAAGAATTAAGGGATGCTTAGAAAGTGTGTGCATCCCTGTGTGTGGGGGGGCGGGGGTTAGGGTGACTGCTAAGAAATTCCTGTTTGAGACACGCGTTATGATTTCTGTTTCCTCTCAGGTCGCTTACCCAGACGCCAGCCCATTCCTGATCCTCTCTGAGGCTTCGTTGACTGATCTCAACTCCAGGCTGGAGAAGAAAGTGAAAGCAATTAACTTCAGGCCCAACATCATAGTTTCAGGATGTGGTGTCTTCGCAGAGGTAATGCTCAGTCTTCAGTCTTCTTTGCCCCTTTCCTTGGATGTAATATTTACTTGAAGGTGTGAGAATCTTTGCTATTGGGTTAGATCAGATGAAGGATGATTTCCGATTTTCCCTGTTATCGCACAACCGCCCGATTTTCCCATTTCTCGAACAGATGGTCAAAACAGTTTCTGTGTGGAAACGAAAGCAGATGCTGGCCTCGAGGACCAGGGTCTGAGACTGTAAAGATAATTCTTAGGAGCTGGATTAGTTCTTGACCGAGATTTACTTAGCAGAGTCTACCAGCACCCTCAGGTCTGCAATAATTTTGCAACAAAGTGAGTCATAAATTTTTCCTTTTCCTGGTGTACATCAAAGTTATGGCTACACTATACTGGGAACAATTTTAGGGGAGCAGGTGACAAATCTGATTTTCAGGGTACAAACCTGCCTCTGGTGGGTCTGGAGGAGGGGAGGCTGGTGGGGCTGCTGGAGCTAAGAGAGCAGGCTGCCACCCCCACCAGGAGAAGGCTCAGGACCTGCATGGAGGCTTCTGGAAGGCAACCCACTGGTCATCTCAGAACCCAGCTGCAAGAATTGTGGTCCTTTTCCACTTCGTTACTCTTCACATCTTAAACCTTCAAGGGTGTCCACTCATCTCCCCCCACACACAAGCAAGGAAACCCGTGCTGCCTCCTTTGCTCCCCTCCCCCTAGATCCATGCCCTTTCCTGTCATCATGACCCTGACCGTTGTACCTGTGAGTGCTGCTTCTAGAAGCTTCTCTCCTTGTCCCTATCCTGTCTGCCCTTGCTCTTCTGCTGTTTGTCCTACTTCTTACTCAAGCAAGGGCTTCCAAGGATCCCTGCCAGCTCCTCCTCTCTCTCCCTGCCTGTGATGGGGTGGCCCTCTCCTGCAGTTTCCCCACTTCCTGTCCCATGAAGGTCCTTCCCAAATGCCCCCAGTGCTCTCCCTCTAAAGTGTGGGGTGCCCTTTCCAACCACTTACCAGAAACATTTCTGTTGGTGACAAATTCATACTTACAAGCTCTCTGCCCCAGTCCCCCACTTCCCCAAAGGTCTTCCTCTGATGTCACAGTTTCTGGCTCAGGTGCCATATTTCTCTCACCCCCACCTGGACCTAAAAAGTGTCCCCTGGTGCCTCCCTTCCCATGTTCCTTCCGGCCACTCCACACCTGCTCTCTTTCTGTCCTCCCACCCTCTGGACAGATCCATGGTCCCTCCTGGTGTTGCCCCAGCCCAGCCCACCCCTCCCTTCCCCCAGTCTCCACTGTGATCTGTACTCCACAGGCAGTGGCAAATGGTCAATGTTACTGACTTGCTCAAAAGCCTCAGTGATCCCCCATTTCTTAAAAGATCCCACTGCCCACTGTCCCTTTAAATCCCTCCATCAAAATGCTTTGGCAGCCTTTATGCTGAGACTGAAAACTGAGTTACACGTGGGGGCTAGAACCCGATTCATGTCTGTAGGGTAAGTGAAAATGATATCAGGCTTTTCTGCCCTCCCGCCATTAAGGATTGATGATGGATCTGCGGTCCTGAATGCATGCCTGATGGCGGGCACCTGGAGTAGGGTGTGGGCATTTGTAGATGGGATTCACCTGGGCTGAGAGACTGGGCTTATAAGGGCAGCATCATGGGGGCACCAGCAGAACCACGAGAAGAACGAATAGAAGAGCAGAGAAGCAGAAGCAGAACAAACAGGAGAACCATGAGAAAAGCAGAAAACAGAGAAGCAGAGAGAATGAATGGAAGAAACACGAGAGCAGCAGAGACCACCTGACAACGCTGCAGAGCCCAGATAGAGTGAAGACTTGCTGGGGGCTGGGAGGCCTGCCAGCCTCCTGGCCCCCTGGCACCCCTGCCTGCTGTGTGCCTGGTAAATCCTGATAAAAGCCTGTGAAAGCCACTGAGGCCTCCAGAACTCACTCCTTCACCCGTCTGCTTGGGTCATAGAAATCCTGCTCCATCTTCCTGGCCCACTACAATGTCCTTGGGTGTCCTGGTCACCTGCAGTCTGGCCCTCAACTCTACTTAGAAGCCCTGGCTTCTTCTTCTTTTTTTTTTTTAAAGATTTATTTATGCAAGCACTGGGTACAGTCAGAGGCGCGGGAGGGTGAGAGAATTCACCAGAGCCAGAGCGGGGAGCAGAACAGGCAGAAGGACCGAAGTACACTGCTGAGGGGAGCAGCGGGCGGCAGGAGAGGTCTGCGCGCCATGCAGGACCCTCCTTCGCAACCCAGCGCTCAACCGCTGTGCCACCGGGGAGGCCCCAGCCCTGGCTTCTTAAAAGCCCCATTACAAGCTACCTCTTCCCTAAGCCTGTTCTGGAGAGATGCCTCCTCCATGGCCCCCTGAGTTTGCCTGCCCCGTACCCGGCTTGTCTCTGTGAGTTTCTTGCCCCCTCATGGAATGTGCTGTGGGAAGTCTTTCTTGGGGTCCTCTCCAGTGTTCTGGGCTTACCGTGCTGGCTCAATGTAGAACTTTTCCTTTTTGTCTCTGTGCTAAATAGACTTTCCTATGGTGGAATTTTTACCTTCTGTATCTGTGCTTCAATTTTATGTGTTTATTGCACATGAAAGAGGCTCTGGAAATATTTCTTTAATGAATAATTAATTTCCTAGGGGGAATTCCTCTCCTTTGGGCTCTTTTATGATTTTTATGACCACAGCGCCCTCTGATGGAGAAGTGTGCGCAGAGCAGGCTGGGTGGCTCCCGCCCCAGGTGCCCAGCTTTCCCGCTGTTAGGAAAAGTTCAGGTAGGATGGCTTAAAAAAAATCAAGAAAAATCCTCTAAAATAATTATTTCATTACATATTTTCAGAGGCATATATGTAAATTAATACTTGCAAAAGATTAAAACTAGTTTTATGATAGACAGCATTAAAGTTATGAAATATATAAAACATAAATGAAAGAAATAAAGATAAACAGATTACTATGAAAAAAAAAAGTAAAAAAAAAAATCAGCAACACGTATGTCAGTTGGTGCAATTAGCTAAGCACAGCATTATGAAACTATCCACAGCCTCTGCAGCACGAGTTTGATCCCCGGCTGGCCAGGGAGCTACCCACATGGTGCAGCAGACCTCTCCTGTCTCCCGTTGTTACCCTCAACAGTCAGTCTGCCTGTTCTGTTCCTCGCTCTGTCTCTGGTGAATCCTCTCACCCCCCACATCTCTGGCCTGTACCCCAGCTCTTGTGTGCATAAATAAATAAAATTTTTAAATAATTAAATACCATAGATATTTAAATCCTGCTCCTGGAACTCTGCCTCTGTCTAGTGACCCACATAGGACTTCATTTTAAAATGAACTTCAGATGTTGCCTCTCAGCCCTCAGACAGCCCAACCCGCTCTTCTCTGAGGGTAAGGACCACAGGTGCCTTTGACACCTCGGTGCCCTCCCTTCTATGATTACTGGAGTCCTGACCCTTCTCTGTGATTCTGGAAATCTCTGCTGCTGTAGGTCTCAGCTTCTCCGTAACCTTCTCCAGCCAGAGCAGCTGGAAGGTGGGTCCCTCCAATCCCTGGGATAAGGTTGCTTCAGTTAAAACCACAGGCAGCTCCTGCCTCACATGGCTTTTCCACCATTTCTCTGTAGAATACTGCTCATTAACTTTCACATATGGTGTCCTGTCTCGCTAGCCTTGTACTTCAAAATAGGCCTTAATGACCAAAGTTACAGACAAATGCCGCAGAGCCTCCTGGGCTGAGCACTTGGTGAAAATTCCAGGGGATGCAGAGAAATAAGCCATCGGACCTGCTCCTGGCCTGGGGAGATGTAAGATCAAACACAAGCTTGAAGGATCTTAATCCACCTTAGGCAGGAAAAAAGGGACTCAGCACAACTTAGAGTAACCCCCTCACCATACCCTCTCCTTTTCCACCCACTCTCTATGTGCCCCCTTCCCTACCACCCACCCCCACTCCCAGGGATCAGGGTGGCTTCCTAAAGGAGGAGACTTTCAATCCCTGGATATTCAGGAGAGAGAAGGAGCCTTTCATTTCAGGGTCATGAGCTGATGTATCCAAGACAGGGAGGGGACAGGAGAGTGTGTGGTTCCTCAGGACTGATGTGAAAGTTTGCCATTTTTGATGCATGTGGCTTGGTTAGTGTCAATTCGGGTGACGTCCCTACACTGGTGTGTCAAGGCTGGGGCTCAGGAGTGCTGCTCTGAATTTTGTGCTTTGTTCCCAGGATTCATGGGATGAACTTCTTATTGGTGACGTGGAACTTAGGAGGGTGATGGCTTGTTCCAGGTGAGCTCCCAGGCCTGCAGGGGGAGAGAGGGGGGAGGGGAAGGGAGGGGGGAGGAGGGAGGGCTTTCTGCTTTGTCCTCTGCCTGACACTCTGTGTATGTCCAGGTGCATTTTAACCACCGTGGACCCAGACACTGGCATCATGAGCAGGAAGGAGCCACTGGAGACCCTGAAGAGGTAGGGCCAGATATTTAATGTCTTAAGAGGAAGTAGTGAAAATCCACCCTCATGCAGTCTGAGGGATCCGGTGCCTGGGCGCTTTGGTCTCCAAATGTCTCCTTTCATAAGTAATTTTTTTTTTTTCATTTCAAATTCATGATCCAAACAAACCAATTTAAAAAAAAAAAAAAACATTGCTTGGGTATTTTAGCAAATTTTATTATGGGCTGAGTATTAGATGATACCAAAATATGTTAGGTGTGCGAATGACATTGCAGAGATACAGGGATTGCCTATCTGGTTTGGAGAAGCACATTGAGATAGGTGTGGGGGAAGCATGTGATGTCTGGAACATGCTGTGTGTTATTTTAGCAAAAAGAGAAAAAAAAACATGCTAATATCTTTTTTTAAAGATGTATTTATTTATGCATACAAGAACTGGGGGACAGGCCAGAGGTGTGGCGGTGGGGGGGGGGGTGAGCGGATTCACCAGAGACAGAGCGGGGAACAGAACAGGCAGACTGACTGAAATACACTGCTGAGGGGAGCAGCAGGCGAGTCAGGAGAGGTCTGCGTGCCATGTGGGTTGCTCCCTGGCTGGCTGGGAATCAGCTCGTACTGCAGTGGCTGCGGACAGCTTCATAGGTAACTCCGTGCGCCACCAGGGAGGCCCCATGCTAATATCTTGACAAATAAAATCTGGGTGACAATTTTGTGGTCTACTTCTATATTTGCTTTAGAATTTTCATGAAGACTTTAAGTGAAAGATACACTGAGAATAATTTTAAGTTGCATGGGAAGATAGCATGTGCAGTATTTACTTTTTTGTTTTGATCTATATGAGTTTAGTTTCTAAGCTCGAGTTTAAATAAAATGCTCAAGTAGATAAAAGACGGGGAGTCTAAGCCAAATGTTAGTGGAGGTGCTTTTTTGGCAGTGGAATTCTGGGGGTATACATGGGCCCTCCAACATTTTCCAATCAAACTGCGTTTCTGTGGCTAAAAGGACAATTCAGGGCCCATGTGTTTCAGCGCTGTTTTTGGCCAAAATGAGGACTCAGCCATTGCTGAGACTCTGAACTGGAGTCTCTCATCTTCATTGGTCCTTTCCATGTGGGATGCTGGGCCACAGGTGGGGTGTCAGGTCTCGTGTCTGCAGCCCCTGAGGCCCTGGGCTTTCACCCCAACATGTGTCCGAGGTATTATTTATGGGAGGGAGCAGCAAGGGTTCAGGGAGGGAGCTGCCAGCCCCCAGGAGACCCCAGTGACCATCCACACCAGAACCACGACGACCGAGCATGTCAGGGGAGCTGATGTGTGCGGTTTGTGGGACCAGACTCCTCCCTGGCCAACCCCCTTTCTTCCACCTCTCACCAGCTTGGGGCCTCTTGAGGGCTGCAATCTCTTTTCCTTTGAATAGCACCCATCCATCCCTGGCGATTCTGCCTTTCCAGAGGCTCCTCTTGCCCCTCGGTGGTGGGCAAGCTGTGGCCTGGCAATGACAGGTGTCTTCCAGCCAGCTCGTGTCCCCAGACCTGAGGCTCTGGCCCCTGAAGCGTGGGTCAGGAGCGCCAGGCCCACCAGGGAGATGGCTGACCTTCGAGGGCCAGTGCAGAGACAGGCAGGAGTGAAGTGCTGAGGGAACTTGGAGAAAGCAGGCCTGTGGGGGGTGCAGGGTGGGGGGTGGGGGTGGGGGTGGGGGGTTGTTCAAGGATCCCCTGAAGTAAAGAGCAAATGACTGTGGTTCCTCAGGGCTCCCACCACTGGGTGTGGATTTGCTGAAATACTCTAAGAGGGGCTACAGAGCAGCCTAAGGCCAAGTCCATCCTTTTGTGGGATGTTGTGTATTTCTGAAATACACTGCTGAGAGGAGCAGCGGGCAAGTCAGGAGAGGTCTGCTGGGCCATGTGGGTTGCTCCCCGGTCAGCCGGGGTATCGAACTCGTGCTGGAGACTGCAGACTGCCCCATAGGCTGCATCTTAACGCCTTGCGCCACCAGGGAGGCCCTGTTTTGTATTTCTTAAGACTTAAAACAACATTAGTTAACTTCTCTGTGAAAAGCTGATATGATGGAATATGTAGTGTCCCTTAGATCTCTTACACTCGCTCCCAGGAGAACTAAAGTAGATTTTAGTTCTAGGGAGCAAGAGGGGGGCTGTTTCCAGCTGAACTTTACCACTTATTTGGAAATGCATAAAAATTAATGATAGGTGGATGACGATGTGCTAAGGGAAGGAGATAAGTTGTGAGAAAATGTCCAGGGTGGAGTCATGTGATCGGCCAGTAGGTGTTTGCTGTAAAATTTTGTTATTTGTTGGCCTGTTTGAGAATTGTCTTAGTGAGAGTTGGGGGGCAGAGTCACCCGTACTCCTGAGAGGAGGAGGACTTTGAGCAGCAAAGATAGACCACACCTGCTCTCAGCCCCTATTCATCACCGACGGAATAAGCCAGCTTATCCGGCTTCCTGCTGCATCCCGGCCTCCTGTCCCAGGGTGCCCCTCCAGTCACTCAGCTGTGCAATTTGGGGGCTTGCCCATTACCCCTTTTTCTACATCCTGTTTTCTCTCTGGCCTCCAGCACCTTGCTTGGTGTCTGCAGCCCTCTCGCTCTGGATCTTGAAAGTCTGTGTTTGCAAGAGTTATCACCTTCGACTTGAAGGCGAGCTGTCTGAATCTTCAGTGCCGCTCCCTGGGGCCTGTGTTTACAGAAGGATAAGCGACTCCAGCGTAGAGTAGAGCAAGGCAGATGCGGGGTCAGTCCTAATACCCCAGGAGACAGTGTAGCGAGCCTGCGTGTCTCCTGTCTCTCACTGAGATTTAAATTGCCACGCATGTAGTCATTTATGTCCTCGAAGGACAGGGGGCTGCAAATCCCACCTGGGGTCTCAGTCATTCCCACACAGCAGAGCTCAGAGTGCCTGCATCTGCAGGAGGGGGTGCGGGGGTGGGGGGACTTTGTCTGTAAAATCCTCACCTGGCTGGGGAGCACTGTGAGGTCTGTCTGCTGCCTGGAGAATATGAGGATGGAATTACCCTTTTAAAGAGAAGGAAAGCTTAGGATGTTTATTAGATATTAAAGTTAGGTCGGCAGGTTCTTTTTTGTAGTTAAATATTTGAAGCATTTATTTTTCTTCAAAGTTTTATTGCTTTACCATTTGTTTACAAAAAATACAAGTTTGGGAGTGCAGCTGCACTACCCTCACATGCTTCGCTTCCCTTGCCCTCCAGCAAGGCACCAGTTCCCAGACCCTACCACTTACCTCCCCAGACGTGCCCCCCAACCACCACAGTTTACAATGACTCTCAGAGTCGTTTTTGCTATGTTTTGCCAGCTTGTTTTCTGTGCTTGTTTATATTCCATGAACGAGAGAAACCATCCTGACATTGTTTTTCACTTTCTGATATAATTTCATTGGGTGTCATCAGCTCAGACCCATCCATATGGCCCCCAAAGCCCAAGGCACGATTTCATCCTTTTCAATAGCCGAGTGGCAGACTTACCCCCTTCTTGCTGAGGGGAAGGTGTCTCCCACGCTGATCCTGCATCTCAGAGAGTGGCAGGAGGGCTGTCCTTGCTACCACATCTTGTGCCCAGTGGAGAGAACACAGCACATGGGCGTCTAGGTACACGTTTCATTGGACACGTGGACACTTTGACTATAGGGACGTCTGTCACCAGCCACTGATGTCAGGCTGTGCCGTGCCAAAGTCAGAGCAGATAATGGTGGGAGGCTGTGGGGGGAGACAGACACCCCCTCCTAGTCTGCCTCTGTCACTTGCTACCTGTGTGACATTGACAAATCACTCAGCTTTGGGAAGCTACTTTTTCTGTAAAATCTGGACTCATAATAATACTTCTGGTGGATCAGAATCAGGCAATAAATAGAATTTTTTAAAAAAATAGGCGGTGAAATACTATAGACAAGGCCCCACGTGAGCTGTCATCACAGCGCCTCTTGTTTACTGACCTGACACTTTACTCCACTGAGGAGGGGTGTGCATTGAGTGACACCCCCTCAACCCCCGCCTCTTGCTCAGCCCCTGGCTCCTCCTGGTTTTCACATGCTGTTTGTGAGGGGCTCCATGGGACCGGCGGGAGCAGAGACCCTCCTAGGCACGGCCTGTCACTTGCCAGCGGGCAGAGACAGCAGCGGGCGGCGCTCGCAGGTGCACAACACTCTGCAGCCACCGCACCTCCCGCACACTGCGCCCCCTGGTGGGGAGACTTGCTGAAGGGAAGCAAAATGAAATGAGTGGTTGTATGTTTCATATTTATTGAAAGAGAGGATGCATTAGGAGAGAAACTTTTGAATGAACCTGTGATTTAGCTCCCAACACGTCTATGTATTTTGAAAATAATGATAAAAGATCCAGGTACTGGGTGACAGTCTGTTGGAAAAAGCTGAATGTACGCACGAATCTATAGCCTTATGTAATACCGCCTCATCCCCACCAGGGGTCGCTGGTGGTCTCCTAAGTGAGTCTCCCAGCCCCTGCTGCCTAGGGAGGCCACCACGGAGCTGGTGGTGGGGAGAGACTGGGGGAGGCAGGGGCAGTGGCCCAAGGGAAGTCCTGGCAGCCTGGGCGAGCCCAGAGCTACTCACTGCCCCACTCCTTTCCTAGATCGTACAGTGAGCGGCCACCTGCCTACCAGGTGACCAGACCTGCTTTGGTACAAACTCACTCCCTTGCCCCATGCTGGGCTGGGAGGGGAGGTGACTCCTTTTGGTCTTGCACCCTTGACATCTCTGGTGGGAGAGAGTGTGCATGTGAGTGGTTGATGGGTGGGAGCAGGCTAAGCCTTTGTGTAGAAGAATAGCTGTTGGCCCCCTCAATTTTACTTAGGGCAGCTCTTGGCCTCGGGAGGTGTGCAGGTGACCATGGCTCACACTGGGAAGAAGAATCCAGACAATGTCACCAACCAAACCAGGCTTCTGACCACATCCTAACCACTTAGATCCCTGTTCCTGGGCATGGCAGTTACTTCTCTGAGCTGATAGAAATTCCCACATAGGTTTATCATAGGGTTGAAAGAGATAATATTTGCGATGCCCTTTATAAACTATGAATATATGACATGCAGAGCTCCAATTCCCCATTCCCTCCCTGAGGGAGTCAAAGTTCAGGACCTCATGGGGACTACAGGGCTGGGCAGCAGAAAGAAATCCCAAGCCAGAAAAGTGGCAGATTCGCCTTTGATTCAGAAGAGGTCACCCTCCCACAGACACAGTACCCCAAATGTCCCTGGGGTTGCATGCACACAGGAGAGACAGGCTAGGAGTGATGCCCGGGTTCTCAGTTCCAAGGTCATTGCAGAGACCTGACCAGGGAGGGAGGCAGTACTCTTGGCAGGGCTGGCAGCCTGGGTCAGTGGCTAGTGGGTTTCATTTATTTTTTGATTTATTCATTTCTTGCTCAACCAGCGCTGTATGTGTAGGACACACGGCAATGGCTGCACAGAATCCACGCAGCTCATATGGTGTCTGCAGTCTGGGAAGTGGTGGGGGAAGAACGGAGCATCTCCAGAAGGGGGCGCTACATTTGACTCACTTCCATTTCTCATTCATCATTTCTGACGTGAAGACCAGAATTCAAACTTAACTGATGCAATTAATTTTTTTAAAAGGGAGGCAGAAAGAAACAAGTGCTGTCTTTAAAAATGTTTTCACTATTAAAAATAATGTAAAATTGAAGTTAAATGGGAAAGTGAAGGAAAACTTTGTGCAGGTGGAGGAAAGATAGGGTACATTCAGCATGTTACTCCCACACACCTGCTCCTATGCACACTTTCAGGGGCTTCTAGTGTTTTCTGCTTTACAAAGTTATTCACGCCACTAACACATTCATCAGCTCAGCAAACACCATGAGACTCCTGTGATGCCAGCACCCAATGTTGGGGTGAGGAGGCTGGGGAGGTCAACAGAGCCCTATTCTCCAGGAGTACCACCTGTCACCTGGCAGGCCAGATAGACAGACATGCACCCTGACTCTGAATGTTCAAGGGGCAGGCAGAGTAAATAAAAGGTGACCTCACTCCAGCTGCAGGATCCTGGGCTTCCTTTCTGCGAGCTGTGGCATTAGAGTTGGGTCTTGCAAAAAAAGGGTAGAATTCCAAGATGGCAATAGTGGGAGAACAGTGAGCGAAGGCAAATGAGGTGGTGCAGGAAGGCTCTCAGCATGTGACAACGAAGCTGGAGCTGGAGGGAAAGGTGTGAAGGATGATGCTGGGAATCTGCAGGTGGGTGGTCTCCTGACAGAGGAGCAGGAGGAAGGATATCCAGGAGAAAAGAAGAAAATACATATTGAATGTCTGACCTCTTAATGCTGAAACAGAGAGCACTGCTTGGAGAAAAGATAAGGGGAGGTGGCCCTTGGTTCCTCTTCTCTAGCTTGTGCCCAGGCAGCTCCCTGCACCACCGGGAGGCACTGTTCCACAGACTGGGCAGGGGAGGGCGCTGTCCGCTGCTGGACAACATGGTGGCTCTGTGTGAGGTGGACCCTCCTGGCCACAGGGAAGCAGCCATGTGCTGTCTGAGCTCTCGCTTCTGTCGGCTGTGACTCATCATGATTTCTCTCCTGCCGCAGCTATCGCCTGTGTGATCCTTCTGAACAAAAGTTATATGGAAAATCACCTCTGTTTGGACAATATTTTGTTCTGGAAAACCCAGGAACGATCCAAGTGGGAGACCCCGTGTACCTGCTGGGCAACTAATAGGGTCGTAGACCTGGTATTGATGCCTAGAGAAATGCCCTTGAAGAAGCCAGCGCTTGAAGAGCAGGGTTTTGGAATGGCCACTGCAGCCTTTTCTTTAGAAAAAAATTTTTGGCCAAGATTTCCCTTTTTTGGATTTTCTTGTATCTCAGTGCTTCCGGGAGCTCAGTGCACAAAGCAAAGAAGTAACTTAGTAAAACTTCTGGAAGATCCTTACATGAGAAGAAAGGTTTCTGAAAACTCTATGGAACTATGATTGTGGGATAATTCTCCTTCTTCACTCACCTACCAGCACATTAACTTCCATCATCAATAAGTGAGTGAGAGGAAAGTTCTGGAATGTTTTAATGCCCCAATGCATGGTGAATGAAGTGGAAGCCCACTATCTCCCCATGTAAGACTGGAAATACATTTTGTTTTTTTCCTTGAGCCCTGGGCTTGCTTTTGAAGGGGCACCAAGAGCCTGCCTGTCAGGTAACTGAAGATGTTCACTTGTCATGCATCATACATCTTTCGTACATATCTACAATTTTTTCATGCATCTATTGCTTTTCAGATAGTGTCGATGAGGATTTGATGGATCCTTCATGGCATGCATTGCTGCTACAGGACAACAGAAATATTAGGGTAGAGGCCTCCCTGGTGACTCAGGTGGTTGAGCACAGCGCAATGTGAAGCTGTCTGCAGCTTCTGCAGTGCGGGTTCGATTCTGGCTGGCTGGGGAGATACACACCTGGCATGGCAGACCTCTCCTGTCTCGCCTGCTCCTCCCCTCAGCAGTGTATTTCAATCTGCCTGTTTTGTTCCTTCCTCTGTCTCTGGTGAATCCACTCACCCTCCTGCACATCTGGCCTGTGCCCCAGTTCTTGTATAAATAAATAAATCTTTTAAAAAAAAGAAAAAAAAAGAAATGTCAGGGTAGAAAATCAACTCATAAATCAATAAAGTGGGGGAAAAAAGATGAAAATCAACTTAATGTGAGCAGCCGTGGTGACACCCTGACATGGGACATGAGAAAAGCAAGAGAAGCAAACCCTTTCTTGCCATGAAACAAAATGTCAAGTCTGTCTCCCTCATGATCCAAAATTTTCGAGCACAGGAGGCGTAGTCTGATGTCTGAGATGCTGTTGGATGTTGCTCAGGGAAATGCCCGCGCAGAGAACGGCCTGACAGCTGCTGCCACCTGGCGGCCCTGCGTGGTGGCTCAGCCCATGCTGTTGGAAAACTTGAAAAATGCTGGTGGGTGGGTCTTAGTTTTCTATCCTAGGAAAAGTTGTTTAGAAGGGAAGCCGGTGTTGTGCTTGGTGTTGTCTGCTGGCCTGCCGTAGGCAGTGGGTTTCCTACAGCACTCGGAGGGGCTGTGATGTTGCGGGTCCTGCTGGGTTCTCCATGGCAGGATGCTCCTCCCCAGATTCAGGTGAAATGGAGCTGAAGTCCATGGATGAGAAGAAACATGATTGTGTGGTTTGAAATAAACCATTGAAAACCCTTCAAAGGAGAAGAGGAAACCATGCCAGCTGTTTTAAAAAAAAAAAACAATATTTAATTTTCCTACTGATTGAATTATATGACTCTTAAGATCTGATGAAATGTATCATTTGCCCTTTTTTCGCTTTGATTGTATTAAGGAGCTGACTCAATCATGAAAAAATGTTTCAAAACTGTAAATAAAGGGAAGTGACTTACTAGCTTCAGACTAGTTTCAGACCTTACTAGCTTCCTGGCTCACCATCTGAAGTCACCCAGTTTCGAGGGTCAGACTTTGAGAACGGATGTAGGTGAAGGTGAGAGTCGGTAATTCTGCCACCGGCCCGGAGCTGGTCTCTTACATGGGCCAGCTCATACCAGCCTCCCGGGGCAAACAACCATCTTTGAAGGGCTGTCAGGAGAGCAAGCTTTTATCCAAGGGCTGTGTGTTTTCCACAGCCTCTCAGAATCACTGGGACGTAGCCTAGCTCGGAGATAAAGGTACGTGTGTGTGTTTTCTGCTCGGTGAATAACTGCAATTTGTTTTCTGCACATTTGGTGTGATGTGGAGGATGAAAGCAGTCAGCTCATCTCACCCATCGCCTCCCCCGGTAGGTCCACTGTAGCTGGAACTACGGATAGGTGGAGGCAGATGTCAGAGTCCAACAACGAACTTTATGCAGGAGCTTGGGGAACCCAGGACAGGCTCACATAGGAGTTAGGGAACCACTTGGCTATGGATGGTCTGAGAGCCCCGTCCTTAGGGATACTTCCCGAGGCTGGGTAGGGAGCTTTTCCTAGATATTTAGCATTAGCACACGCTGAATGCCTACCTTGGATTTTTAATCCTTTGCAAGTAGTCACATCCACTTTCTTGGCGACCAGACTGAGTGGGCCACACCTCCTGCTGGCCTGCCACTCCCCGCATGGCAGAGGACCCCTGGTGGTGGAAAGTCTCCTACTTCTCAGGATGTGTGGGAAATGCCTGTTAGAACAGAGGGTCCCGTGGCCTCTCGAGTCTCAGAGTAGTTGCCCAGCCTTCTGTCAGTGAGATTTAAAAGCCATTTACTTGTGTTTATTTTATATTTAATGAGAGGGTTCATGCCACAGGCAGGCCTAATGTCTCGTTTATTTTGGATACTGAACGTTTGCACACAATTCCACTTGAAATATAGGAGCAGGAGCACAGACCCTCAGGAAGGTCTCCTCCTGGGTGTGGGTGATGGGCATTTGAGGTCAGGCTGATACCCCCCCTTGGTGGGCCTATCATTCTGGGTGTCAGCTTCATGCAGCTGTCACTGTGGAGCTACAGGCCCAGCAGTGGCTATCTGAGGGAGAGGAGAAGGGACAGAGTGGGAAAGATTCTGGGCAGCCTGCTCAAGGCCCACTTTCTTGGCTTTTCCACAGAAAATTTAGAAATTTGCTACCAGGAGAGAGAAGAGGCCACTTAGACACACCAGGTCAGAAAGAGATCCAGGTGGGCTGATGGAAGTGAGTCAATTGCTATCAATGAGGAACATACTTTCTCTCCCTCAGTGATTTGGGGGATCCTCCTCCTTCTGTGATATGGGGTACCCTCCTCCCACCCTCCTCTCCTCCCACATGGATGTGATGTGGGGGCAGGAGATGCACTTGGGGGCAGCTGCCCATGTGGCCAAACTCAGGAGAGCCTGACTAGCAGGAGTGCCTTGGGAGGCCCTTTGTGATACTGTCCCTGAGAGTTATGGCAGCTGGTGGCCAATGCTGAGAGTGTGACAGGTGAATAAAGCCCACAATGGTGAATCCACTGAGTGACCAGTGGTCACTCACAGAAGCCCCGAGCCTCTCAGACCAGACATCCCTCCACTGTAGGTCCAATCGGAGTATTGGAGCCAGGCCACACCGCTGCCCTCTCCTAGCCACCATTGGGCCCAGGAATTTGGAAGATTGCCTGTGAAAAAAACCCCATAGCAAAAAATTCCATGGGCCAAAACTGTAGGAAGTGCTGAATGCCTCACTCCTTTTCAAAGGCCCAGCTGCCGGTGGAAGGCTGTGGGGACCTGCAGACGAGAGCACCACTCTCCCCAAGGCGCTCCTTCTGGTCTCTGGAGAAAATCTGCTCTGAACTCTAAGGGAGCACCAGCCAGGGGCAAGAAGGGTGACCAGCAGGAGGTGCCTTCTTGGGAAGTTTCAAGCTGTTAACACTTGGAGGCCTCGGAGATGCTTCCTCTCGTTGTCTCCCTGGTCCCTGTGACTTGGGTGGGAGGATGCGACTGAGGCTAAAGAGGCTGATGGTATGGAAAGGGTGTCTTAGACCAGCTCTCCTATCACAGGCCGAGGGAGAAGTATTCACTTTGCTCTCATCTTCCAAACCTATTCATGTATGGAAGGGTGTGCCCTGATAGAGAGGTGGGGTGACACGTCCTGGCCTTGCAGCAGTACCACGTGACACATTGGACCAGGCTGCCTGCTGCACCAGGGAGGCACCATCTCTCTGTCTGCTGGCTTTCCCTTTCCCTCCCCTTCCCTTTCTCAGTGAGAGCTGCCTCCCCCACAGGAAGCACATACTCACTTGTTCACTTCATACTGTGATCTTCTATCAGAAAGAACGGACATTGTTGGCTTCTCCATTTTCATAGAAAGTGGACAAGTGTGTTATTTTAGTGTCTGAAGTTATCCCATTTCAAGCCAGCAGAGGAATCTGGCTCAGCATTTAAATGTTCTTGGAATTGGGATGATAAAAATGTGCCTGCAATTAAACCTTTGTCTGCTTGCGCTGCCCTGTCTTCAGTGGAAGAGGCCCAGGCCTTGGTTTTAACTATGATCCTGTTTTCCCTGAAAACATGACTAATAGGGGACTATTGGGGCCTCCTGGGGCTAACAATATGAAAGCCATGTTCTCCCTAGCTCAGAAATAGAAGTTGATCTGATGACATTATTAGTCTTCCTGGACAGGTTATAGGTTATATTATGGAACAGGCTAAGAAGTGACTTCCATCCCTATCGTCCAAGATTGATCATGATAGGTGAGTCAAGTTCACACATTTGGCTCTTGACCAATCCAGTCAATCACCCTGGTGGTCCACAGTCATGCTCTACCTTCATAGAACATTCCAGACTGCCCTTCCACCAGCTTCCCTCATGAAACCCATGGTCCTTGACAATTGCCTTTCATTCTCTCTACCATCTCCACTTGTCCCTGGCCTGCGTCTTCAATAGTCTGGACTCTGGTCCATATAGAGTCCTTTGGAATGGAGGTCAGGTACCACACCTGTCTCTCTCTTTGGGATTTGCTGGGAGTATTGTAAATAAAGTATTGTTGTCACGATATTTCTAGTGAATATTTTTATACCCAATAAAGTCTCAGAGAGATGACATTGGCTTGGGCTAGAGAAGGGCCACCTCTTCATGACTTGCCCAGCAATTAAAGGAGCTTGTTAGTCAGTCGGAGGCCCAGGACGGCCGAGGACAGCTGGAGAGCTCTTCTTTGCAAGCAGCTCTGGTTAACATCAACCAGGAAAGCCCTTTGTAAACACATGAATAATTGATCGTGCAGCGCTCACATAGCTACTGAGGATCTGAGCCCCGATGACTCATTTGCGAGCCATTCCTGTCGTCTGGATGCCATAACATTGGAGAAATGATGATTGTTTCTTGGAGATTCTTCTGTGGCCAGAGTTGCCAAGACCCAGGCTGTAATGGTTTGTTATGATGACCTTTGTTATTCCATTAGGCTCAATTGCTTTAAAAAATGATGTGTGCATACTTTAGGAGCGATTTTACCCTTTATGTTGACCTGACATCATAGTTTATATTACGCACTGTATTAATGACAGAGGAGTGTTTTCATGTCCCAAGGACAAATTTTAACAACCATAATCTGCCCTTAGTCATCATAAATATAAATGTATTGGTCAAACAGATCTCGTTAATGTGGCCAAGATAAATGCAAGTCTATATTTTAAGGCCGTTGAAGTCCTAGAGAATGAATATATTTGGAGCTTTTCATGGGGCTAAGAAATCTTGTATATGTGCTATCAAAAGGCTGAGAAAATGAACACTTCCCCCTCTGGTTTTGAGTTGGACAGATATAAATGTTTCTTGGGGATGTCAAGTGAGATTGTTCTCATTGTTTCTGGACACCATTAGTGCCTGTGGGGTGAATCTTAGTTCTTAAAGCCATATTCTTCTCATTATGCTCATAGGGCTTTGGAAAGAAGCGAAGATTTCATGTTCTAGGCATATGTTGCTCAACCACATTTTCCTGAGTTACACTGCGTTGTAAAGTTTTAATTGTATGCATCCTCCCTCTGCCCCCATGTCTTGCTTCTTATAAACTGTGTCCCTTCTCTGCAGATGTGTGTGTGACATTTTGCTTCATTCAGCTGGCAATGCAAGTGCTGGCAGATGCTGTTCTGGGCGTGCACTGTAGGGCAGGCTGAACAGTTAGCTTTCTTCTTTTTTTTTTTAAAGATTTATTTATTTATGCACACAAGAACTGGGGTACAGGCCTGAGGTGTGGGGGTGGGGGTGAGAGGACTCACCAGAGACAGAGTGGGGAACAGAGCAGGCAGATTGACTGAAATACACTGGTGAGGGGAGCAGCAGGAGAGCCAGGAGAGATCTGCTGTACCATGTGGGTCACCCCCTGGCTGGGAATCGAACTTGTGCTGCAGTGGCTGCAGATAGCTCCATAGGCTGCATCTCAACCCCTTGTGCCACGAGGGAGGCTCAGCTTGCTTCTTCTTTAGGAGGTGCTCACCAGGTTGACCTTTGTTGTGGAGGTCCATGTTTTGAAGCTTTTCAGGCAGAAAGTAAATCCTTGTTTAAGAAGCTCTTTTTAATTGTGTTTATTGTGAACCACAAAAATGCGTTGAAGGCAATCCTGGCTCAAATACAGCTTTCTCTCCCCAGGCTGTTTCTAGGAATGAGTTCATCTCCCTGGATATGGTAAACATGGCGCCATAATTAACCCCCTTGTAGATTATGGTCACCTAGGGGTGATTGATGAGAACTTCAAAAAAATCCATTTACTCTTCTTCCCTGAGAAGATTCTTCCCGTCTGAGCCCACTGCGGTCTTTGGTCGTGCCACATATTGGCCTTCAGAAACTCGGTGTTACCCGGGTCACTTCTCTGGGATTGGGTTATTTCCTCAGTTGGATGATTTGAGGGCAATGCTGTAATAATCTCCTGTGAGGTTTAAACTTTTTGATCTATTTTAAAATTATGCACATGGGCCTCCCCGGTGGCGCAGTGGTTGAGCGCTGGGTTGCAAAGCTGCCTGCAGCCTCTGCAATGCCGATTCGATCCCCGGCTGCCAGGCAAGGGTCCCACATGGCACGCAGACCTCTCCTGCTGCCCGCTACTCCCCTCAGCAGTGTACTTCGTCAGTCTGCCTGCTCTGCTCTCCGCTCTTGCTCTGGTGAATTCTCTCATCCTCCTGTGCTTCTGACTGTACCCAGTGCTTGTATAAATAAATAAATAAATCTTTAAAAAAAATAAAAAATAAAATGAGGCACATGCACCATGTTCATAGCATTATTCCTAATAGTCAGTGTGGAAGCAACCCAAGCTTCCATCCACAGGAGCACGAATAAACACAATGTGGTCCATGCAGTCAATGGAATTATTGACTGAAAAATAATTATTCCTGAAAAATAAAGGAAACCATGTGATACGCTGCAACACAACGACCTGTGAGGACATCATGCTAAGTGACACGAGCCAGTCACGAAAGGACAGATGCTATACGACCATTGATTTCAGATGTGTGGTGTAGCCAGACTCTCTGGAGGCAGAAAGCAGAGGGGTGGGTGCCAGGGGCCGGGGGAAGGGAAGGGGAGGGGACCCTGTGTCAAATGGGGACAGTTTTCATTTTGCAAGATGAAAAGAGTTCTGAATGGACAGTGGTTACACAACAGCGTGAATGGACTTAATACCACAGCACTGTGCACTTAAAAATGGTTAAGTGGGTGAATTTGAAGTTATGTGGAGTTCACCACAATTAAAAAATGAAAAAAAAAAGTGAAGTACATCAGAGACTTGGAGTTGAACGAATGTGAACTCTAAGGCCCTTCCTGGAAACTTGGGCAGGCAGAGCCGATGACAGCCCCGGCCCCACCCGAACATCAAGAGGTGCAGGAGAATAAGAAATTGCAATGCATTGTCTTTGAACTCAATCTTGTCTGAGGGTGAGATCATTTAACTCCAGACTTTAGTTTCTTGTTTTAAGTTCTTTGGACCTTAACTTCGACTTAATTTTGGATTTGGTAATTTGACATTGGGAGGGGGATTAAATTCAAGTGCAGACCATCTTATTGGCATTTTGTGGTTGGGGTGCTTTCATGACCCCATTGGATTTCACTGCATCACCTCTCATCTGTTGTGTTGCTCAAGATGGTGGGAAATCATTTGAGTCAGAAAATAGCAGAGGACCTACATTTTCTATCTTGTCTACAGAGGATGCTCGAAAAGCATAATCTCCTGGACTGACACATCTCAGAAGTTTATGGGGCAAAAGTCCACATTGTCTGCTAGGGAAGATCTTTAATAGAGCAGAGGCTGGATTGGGCTGGGGGCTGATCCCCTTTTAAGATGCTGCCCTACTTCCAGTTCAATGCAGGCACAATGGTTAAGCATGGCAGGTTCAAAGAACAAAACATTGAGGAATCTGGAGGCAGAGATGATAGCTTCCCTGTTTAGTTGCAGTATTTTATTTTTTTTATTTATTTTTAAAGATTTATTTTTATTTATTTATACAAGCACTGGGTACAGTCAGAAGCGCGGGAGGGTGAGAGAATTCACCAGAGCCAGAGCGGGGAGCAGAGCAGGCAGAAGGACCGAAGTACACTGCTGAGGGGAGCAGCGGGCGGCAGGAGAGGTCTGCGCGCCATGTGGGACCCTCCTCCGGTGGCCGGGGAGCAGCCGGGGATCGAACCGGCGCTCACAGAGGCCGCGGGCAGCTTTGCAACCCAGCGCTCAACCGCTGCGCCACCGGGGAGGCCCTAGTTGCAGTATTTTAATCTGACCTGTCCCCGACTCACGCAATCAAGGGGTGCTGGTTAGTCTTGGCCCCTCTGCCTCCTCACATTCCCTCCCACTCAGGAGAGATCTGATTGGTAAATCTGGGAGCAGCAGTTGTGCTCTGCTCTTCCTCCCCTGCTTCTTAGGTGCTACTTGCCACCAGGTGTTGGGATTCTGGTCTCTTTCATCCAAGAGATGAGCTTGGCAGCAAAACCCTGCACTCAGTGGGAAAGCACTTGTTCTTGGTTATCTTGATTCTGGTACATCTGATGGCATGAACTCATTTGGGCACCAATGGGGCAGGAATCTCAGTTTTAAAGAAAGAGTTTTAGTTTAAAGAAAACAGATCATGGGCCTCCCCGGTGGCGCAGCGCTTGAGCGCTGGGTTGCGAAGCTGCCCGCGGCCTCTGCAGCTCCGGTTCGATCCCCGGCTGCTCCCCGGCCACCGGAGGAGGGTCCCACATGGCGCGCAGACCTCTCCTGCCGCCCGCTGCTCCCCTCAGCAGTGTACTTCGGTCCTTCTGCCTGTTCTGCTCCCCGCTCTGGCTCTGGTGAATCCTCTCACCCTCCCGCGATTCTGACTGTACCCAGTGCATGTATAAACAAAAAACAAACAAATAAATAAAAAAAAAATAAAAGCATGCCTCTATTAAAAAAAAAAAAACAGATCATTAGTCATATAGTGTACATGTGCAGACTATGCCGTGTGTGTGTGTGTGTGTGTGTGTGTGTGTGTGTGTGTGTGTACGGATTCCTCCACAAGCTGTGGTGACTTCCCTGCCTCCTGAGCCCCCATCAAACCCAGTGGAGGATCATCTGCACCCTAAAAGAGAACAAAGCTCTGAAGGCACCAAACCTAGAACTTAGGTCTCCCAGCAACTCAGTTAATGACCAACCACAAAGTTAACTAGTCCTGACCTCATTAGCTGGGAGGGGCAATGCTCTGGCTTAACAATTCTGTACAAATTGGGCATAAACGCCTGTGTGCATACATATGTATGGGAATAAACAGGAAAGTGTGTGTTGTTATTTAAAAAAAATCAATTAGTATCTTAATGACTCAACAAAGGAGTCCAAAATCTAGCATTGAAATATAAAGGAAGGGCCCTCCCCGGTGGCGCAGCGGTTGAGCGCTGGGTTGCAAAGCTGCCCGCGGCCTCTGTGACGCAGGTTCGATCCCCGGCTGCTCCCCGGCCACCAAAGGAGGGTCCCACATGGTGCGCAGACCTCTCCTGCCGCCCGCTGCTCCCCTCAGCAGTGTACTTCGGTCCTTCTGCCTGCTCTGCTCCCCGCTCTGGCTCTGGTGAATTCTCTCACCCTCCCGCGCTTCTGACTGTACCCAGTGCTTGTATAAACAAACAAACAAACAAACAAATAAATAAATAAATAAAACATGCCTCTATTAAAAAAAAAAAAAGAAATATAAAGGAGGGAGGGATTAGGGTCCAAATAAAGGGAGGGATTGTATGGGGACTATAACCAAGATGAAAATGCACACATTGTGCAAAAATGAAAAATGATGTAAAAAATATGTAAAATAAAATAAATTTAAAAAATATATAAAGGAGGGCCTCCCTGGTGGCACAAGGGGTTAAGATGCAAGCTATCGGCAGCCATTGAAGCATGAGTTCGATCCCCGGCTGTCCAAGGAGCTACCCACATGGCACAGCAGACCTCTCCTGTCTTGCCTGCTGCTCCCCTCAGCAGTGTATTTCAGTCACTGTGCCTGTTTTACTCCCCACTCTGTCTCCGGTGAATCTTCTCACCCCCTGCACCTCTGGCCTGTACCCCAGTTCTTGTATGCATAAATAAATAAATTTTTAAATAAAATAAAATATAAAGGAATCAATGACATTTTTTCATTTTTATTTTTTTTTATTTGTTTTAATTTTTAAGACAAAGTGAGTGCAGGGTGCTGAGTGACTGTTGCATTGTCTAGTAGCTGGGGAGAGTCTGTAGCACTAGCTCTTCTCTCTCCGCCCAGCCGAACTACAGAGAAAACTTCATGTGAACTGGAAAAGATGAATTTCAAGCTTCATTGAGAGCTTAACCTTAAATCCTTCTTGAAAATAACCTGTCTCTCAGGAATCTGAGGTCCTAAGGAATTATGAAGCTTTTCCCTGGGCTGTGGAATGGCGGCATTATGAACTGTGATTACTTAAGTTTGAATGCAAGGATGTAATAAATCTGAAAGTATTTGTTCTGGTTTGTGACGAAGCAAAATTGTATAATATTAAATCAGATGTTGTTATAAACATATGAAATGACACATTTTTTTCCCAACTTGGGGCATTGTGGCATGAAGCTTCTGGGAATCTAAAAAAAAAATATGTTTTTACATTCTTAGAGAGCAAGTCTGCTTTCTGCTAGGTTTTCTTCC